TTCCATGTTTTTACTGCACAATGTGTGAGGAATTTTCTCTCTTTGCAGAAAAACACCCCAGTTGGAATCATTTTAATCATATATTTGGTAAACAAGCTTATAGATCTCAATCATGTCGTCTCTGTGTCATATTAAGAATGAAAATTAATCCATTATTTCACTTCTTATTTGTTTGCTTTCATCAACATTTGTGGCAATCATGTCTGAAAAGCCCCCCACACAGCAGGCATCTAGTTACAAACATTCAGAGGTGGATGTGATGACAAACACTGAGACAAGTTGCAGAGCCTTCGCACTTTGTGCAAAATACATGGTGAAGTTTTTGCTCACGCACCCTTTCACTACGGCGAGCACAAACCTAGCGTTAGTCTCTACATCTCATTAGATACTAAGTGCCACATCTGGTAAAAACAAGAGGTGAATGTCACCTGGTTAACACCATTGATGTGATGAAACCTGATGAAACTGTGGGAAACCATCAGGACTGAGAGGACAATATCAGAGTGAAAGTCAGAGACTGTAAGCCAGGTAGTTTAAAGGTGTCAGGAGACCAGAATCCAGGACAGTGGCCTATTTTAAGACCACAAGTAGCAGCCTCTAATAAGACAGGCAAACCTTCGACCACTCTGCGACCTAGTTTTTTGGCTTGGAAATGTCAAAATTAAATCATGTGTTAACCCACAAAAATCAGAAAGTCTATGAACAGTGTTGGCTGTTGAGTGTAGAATTTTATATTGTGCTTTTAAAATAAAATACAGCAAACAGACAAATGTGCTTTCAGGTGTCACCTAAACAACATTTTTTCATCAGCTTTGATTAGTGTGTCACAGCAAAACCTCTTTTCTATTGTTCAAACTAATGACTTTGTTTTCCTCCGGTCAGGTCGCTGCTGTTTTTTACACAAAGACTTAAGTGATGAACAAAAAACTGCTGCGGCTCGTGCCTGGTGTGCCGGGCCACTGGAAGCTGTCATCTTCACCCTGCAGCTCAGTCAACATTGAACTGTTCACCATCATCATCCTCTGAAGTGCACTGGAGTTTGTCATTTCAACGTTCCTTCGGGGAAAACGTGGATGGAAGGAATATGAAAACGCCGGTGATATATGGACTTTGGTTTTGAGGGTCAGGTATTTATTTTAATCATCAGTCTGCTGTGGGTCAAACCTGATTCACAAATTGGAAAATCTGTCCGTCATGTCATACTGTAATTGTTTTGGAGAGAAGAAGTAAAGTATGAGATGTGTCCTGTGTTGTGGTTGTGCATAATTATTTGCTTGCAATTACTTAAAGATTCAAGATCAAGTTTAATGGTATTTGTATCCTAAATGAATGCAGTCCCATCAGTGGAGTTTGGCCACAGTTTGCTTTGACTTAAAACTGGGTCGGTTCACTGAACGACATAGTAATTAAAAATCCTGAATTTAGCCTCTGATTTCTTAGTATTTCCCTTAAGACTGCTGCTGATCATAATAAAAAAAAAGGCTTTGTGAACAGAAATCAGTGATGAAAACAAACCCTTAAAAACATCATAACACTCAGTCCGTGAATTAAAGGTCCCATATGATGCTCATTCTTAGGTCCATGCTTGTATCTGGGGTTTCTACTAGAACATGTTCACGTGATTTAATGCTCACAAAACACACTCTTTTTCTTAAAATGTCTGCCTGAATATACTGATATTCACCCACTGTCAGAAACTCGCCGTTTTAAGGCCTGTTTCTTTAAGCCTCCCTGCCAAAAAGCCCCGTCTGCTCTGATTGGTTCGCATGTCTGGGTCTTTAACATCTGCACTCGTGTCTCTGCACCCACAATACAGCTGTTAAATAACTAAAACAAGCCGCAGTTTCCACCTTTTATAGTATATTTGTGACATCACAACTTAACAGAAGTCCTGATGGCTCATTTAAAGGCACAGTTGGTGAATACGGACTGTGTGCATTTCTTTGTGGATTGAGCGTTTCGGTTCTTTCACAGCATTTATAAGGTACCTATACCTGATATGGGGCTGGTGTGGCTACACATTTTGACAAAGGCCTGTCTCAGTTAGAGGCCTGGTCTGGTTATCAAATAGTTCATTTTAATAGAAGTTCTTTGGATATATAAAAGAAGTTGCTGGCTACCCACTTGAGCTGATGTTAGTTAGCTGCTTCGATACACATACAAATATATATGTTTAAACTTTTGTCAATATAGAAATGCTACATATCGTTAGCTGGGTTATATTCTCCGCGATTCAATTCAATTCAATTCAATTGTTGTTCAATTACTGTTACTACAGTATGAGCACCAAAGAAGACAGTTATTCATTGAGGTTTACCGCCCTGGGAAACGAGAGAGATGAAAAAATAATGGCGACTTTCTTACTCTTATTCCATCTAAGTTGTAAATATTGTTTCAACAGAATAAAGTGTTCTGCCAGTAATCATTGAGTGCCGTAAAACAAGCGTCATTAACTATCTCTGTTTTCGATGCACTGTCTCAGGCAGCTAGATCAAATAAATAATTCATGTTATTTGAAGTCTAGTTTTTATACAAGTAATATTCATACTAGTTACTCGTACTTTTCATCTTTGTAAAGGTCTGTCCCATATAGACGTCTATCCCAAATATAAGCCTGTTGAGTTCAGTAATTTAAGCAAATAATAGCCCAGGCTACTAATAGAATTTTTACAGTAATCCTATACTAAAACTCCTATCTTGAATTTTGATTTTAGATGGTGTGGCTACTTGTTTGGATTGTTTATCTGCATGAAAGATAAGATAACATGTACCGTACTGTTCCCGGTGAGACATTTCCTTGTGCAATAGTGCCAAACCCAGCTGTAATCATTATGAAGATGTGTCTGTGTGTACAAGGCTTAACATACTTTGTCAAGTTTAACGAAAGGTTACGACGGAGTTAAAGCATTTCCACAGATCTTGTACTTGTTGTAGAACGATCCTTCAAAGTAAATCTAAGGCAATAATGTAAAATGACACCATCACTCTGTATTAGGTAGTATTAGGATTGAAATTACATAAAAAGTACATACATATAATCAGCAAAATATACTAAATATCATTAATATTTTTACTCACGCTGAATGATCCATTGATGGTGTTAAAAGCTGACTAACCAGCATTTTAATGTAGCCAGTCAGCCAGTCTACTGTGCATAGTTTAACTTAGAATGTGTTGTTACCTGAGTTCAATTCAGTTTATTATTGTCATTCTATATACACCAGCATACAATGAACACAATGTTACTCACAAATCCAGACGCAGTAAAGAACATGTAGCTAAGAAGACATTCAACATGGACAGGACAACATTAGAGTGTAATAAAGTGCATTGTAAATACTCATAAGAATAAAAACAGGTTAACGCAGAGGAATGAATATTGCATTCTTATTATACAGTGTTTATCATGCAATTACTCTGTGTGGAAAGTAGCTACAAATATCAAGGGTTAGAAAGTACCAATATTTCTCTACACTGTAGAAATACAAAAGTACCTTAACTGCACTCAAATGTGGCACTTTAAAGTTATTTATCTTGAAATGAACAATTGCAGAGTAGTCATGGACACTGAAAATCTTGGGTCACAGACTCTCTTCAACAAGGCAATTTAAATATATATAAATAATAAAGTCGCAGTAGTAGAAACAAAAATAATTTAGATGTAAGTGCAAGTTAAAATAAAGGATAAAATATAAGGAAGTATGAAGTGATATAAATCAGTAGTTGCAAACATAGAATGTACACTCTGAAAAAAAATGATGGGGTTAGTTTATAGCATTTAAAATAAAGGTTGACTGTTGACAACTTATTTTAGGAACTTGGTCAAAATCAAAAACATTATAGACAGTATTGAGTAGGATGGAATTAGAATAAACAAGTCAGAATATCTTAAATAGTTTGACCTCTAAATATCAACAAACAACATCTGGATAAATATTATGTTGGCTCAACTTAAAGTTTTCGAGGTCAAAGCAAATCGTGTTGGTTGTACTAAACTAATTAACTTAGATTATAAAAGACATAATAATGCCAGAGTTGCAACTACTTTAAAAAATGAATAAAAATTATCACCTCATTTTTTTTAAGTTGAACTAGTAGATTTAGATGTGTATGAATATTAGAGATGCAAATCTTGCGGATATATCCGCGACATCGGCGGATATCCACAATCCGCAGATGGGTGGGCCAATAAAAATTTACATTGTAATTCATTTCGGGTGGATTGCGGGTGGACCGCACACTCCGTAAAACAGGGCACAAGAGGACTTGACTTACTTCAAAGACTTTTATTATTGCAACAGACCAAACAATATTAGGCTAGAGTAATTTTTACATTAGAAATGTGACCACATTCGAAAGTAGCCTATACTCTTTTAATTGTTTAAGTCAAGAAAATGCGCCTATATGAAAAGCAAATGAGCACGAACGGCTGGACATACTTTAAATGTAAATACAATAACTTAATGTTTGGCGTGGGTTGGGTGCGGGTCTATCCGCGCATCTCTAATGTATATGTGTATAAACATAAATATATAAGTACGTATATATAAATAGATATGTACATATATGTGTGTATGTGTATATATATATATATATATATATATATATATATATGTATAGGGAGAGGGAGAGAGAGAAAGATTTTGATATATGTTAGTTCAGGTAAAAATAATAAACAAGTCAGAATATCTTAAATGAAACAATTTGACCTCTAATTAGCAACACAACATTTGGATACATATTATGTTGGTTCAACTTAAAGTTTTTTAGGTCAAAGCAAATCATGTTGGCTGTACTAAACTAATTGACTTAGTCAGATTATAAAAGACATATAACAATGCCAGGGTTGGAACTACTTGAAAAATGCATGTTAATTATCACCTTTTTTTATTTTTCAAGTTGAACTAGTAGATTTAGATGTGTGTGTACAAAAATACATAGAAAAACCTGGCGCGGACTATTTTACAGTAGTGTGGCGGAGTGATCTGTAGTGTCGGAGGTCCTGACGGGAGACAGACAGCCAGCGGGGATCGATAACAAACAGACTCGGTGGAAAATTATGACTGCAACAAAAGGCAGCTAGCTGGCTACTTATCGTTTCACAAGCCAGAATCAAAGACAAGAAAACCAAGACAGCCGAGAGCATGGAGAGAAAAGGGTGAGACTCTTAAATGTTCCGGCGAAGGAGTTGTTAAAATGAAAGTTTCTCTGCAGGAAATACACGCATGCATACATGCGTCTTGCACACTTGAACACTTCGCAAACGATCAAGTTATTGTTATTTACTCTTTTGTTTCGTTAGCTCAACGAATGCTTCATATCGTTTTTAGTTCATTAGCTTTGTAAAGTAGCAACTTCGAACAATAGTAATTGATACGCTGGTCCGTTGTCGTTAGCGACGCCGCTAGCTTGATTAGCTAGCTAACTTTCATTGTTTACACACGCTTGATTTGCGGCGCGTTGGGCCCGACACAGCTCCACTAACACACGGTGTGAAACCCTCAGCTGCGGCTCTGTTAGCTTGTTTTAACTTGTATGTGAAGGACATGCTGCCTCGTGTAGTTCAGTGCTGCCTGTAAGTCTCTTATATGACTCACTGTGACCACAGCTTGTACAGGCAGCAGGCTGTTGTGTTACAGTTACAGAGCTGTAGCTCTCAACTCTAAGGCTCCACCTACTCACCTAAAGATCATCACACAGGTGCTTTCACTCACTGTGGATGTTACACCACCTGTGCGCGTGCACACATGTACCTGACACTTCGTACTCCTTGTGATTACACCTGTTAGGGTGGAACAGCTTATACCTTTTGATCATTGTTAGTGATAACATGAAGCTTGGTGACCTCATAAAGCTGTGCCCCATCAGCCTGACAGAGGTCATGTATGAGAGCCATAACTGCTTTAAAGGGACAGTTCACCCCAAAATACAAAACACATATTTTTCCTCTCACCTGTAGTACTCTTTAACCTTCTATATTGTTTTGGTGTGTGTTGCAGAGTGTTGGAGATATCGGCCGTAGAGATGTCACGTCTTTAAAATATAATGGAACTAGATGGCACTCAGCTCGTGGTGCTCAGAGCGCCAAAAATACATTTGAAAAAAACTCAACAGCAATGTCTCCTTCCAGATATTATGACCCAGTTACTCATGGTAATCCACAGACCTTGTTGTTGTATGTAGAACTGGATAAAGCTAGGAAGCAGGACGCCATTCATTCTTTTGAAAGTTGCTCATACCCCTTTTCCAACGATATGGAACTGGCTCTGTTTCTGTTCCTATATTGGGAAAAAAAAATGCAACTGCATGTTGAATCTCTCCTTTATTTTCGTTATTTTCTAAGTGGAGACTTTTTTTTCATACTTCCATTTAGGTATGGGCATCAATTTTCGATTATCGATGATCGATTGTTAAGGCTTTTGATCGATCACAAATAATTTTGATCGATAGTCGCAGTGTTTACCCTACAATGCCTGGCATAGGTCCGGCAAGCTGCCGTGCCAACGAGACCCCCCGCCCGGCAAGTCGCCATGCCAACGAGACCCTTCCGCCCGGCGAGCACGGCGGCTCGACGGGCCTACGAGACCCCCGCCGGACCTATGCCAGGCAAAAAATCAGAAACAGACGGAAGCTCTCATCGCTCTCCAAAGCCTCGGCGGCTTCCCTTGAGGCCTTTGAAAACACTACGCCATTGAAAGACGGAGGTTTTTCTGAAAACTGAAGCCTATAACTCTGGCTGGCAACGGTTGTAAACACCCAGGGGTGAACTGCGCATGCGTGCCATTCTTCCTCTTTGGCCTGGGGGGTTGAAGCTCAAAACTGGGGCATCTGCGCTCTCTTGCGGCAACAGTCTGCACTGCACTCTTTTGTTTTCTCTCTTTTGAAATACTCGCTTATCAATTAATCGATAATTGATCGTTAATTTTTTTGATGATCGAATAATGAATTTTGATTGTTTGCCCATCCCTACTTCCATTAACAAAATGATTTCAGGTTTCAATTATGATAACAAAACCAACAATAATCCTCAGTTTTCATTCCTCTTAGGGTCATTCTGACTGATAACAACAGTAATACTGTGATACTGTGGAACTGCAATATTTTCTCAGGTGAAAATCTCATACTGTTGCAACTCTAGATCCTGCACCTAATTTTGAACCGCTGAGAGCATTTTGACCAAAACTAAATCAGTTAGAATCTGAGAAGTTGGTTCCCGGCTCAAACCAAAAATGGCAGGTTTTCCTTGACTAGAACTGTGACATCAATAGTGGGCGTGTTATATTCTACAGGATGGAAGAGAGGATGGAGAAGACAAGTAAGAAATCACCACACAAGAGAGTGTGCAGTGGTCTCATTAATAGTTGGTTCAGGCTTATTTTGTTAGGTAAAAACAAGTATCTGTAATAACAGAACGGATGTTTGCAGATAATCAATGTGATCCACAATTTTGCTACTACTGTTTAAATACATTGTACTTTGTGCAACACCCTCTGTTGATGACAGATCCTTAACTACAATGATTCCATGCAAACCTGGTGGGAATGCAGGCTGGTTTGCTAGAAAGCACCAAGGTTAAAAAAAATCCTGAATGGAACCAGTTCAAGAACCAGAGCTTATTTGCTGCAAAGGGGCCATCAGTGGCTCATGAAGCCAGACACAATCAACCCAGATGATGGGCACTGTATGCATCCATAGAACAAGTGCACTAGAGACTTCTATTGGCAGAGCCAGTGATTCATGTTTAGCGCTCAACTAACTTAAATGGAGATAAAATTATTTAATGGTGTGGCTCCTCTTGACTCTCCAGATGTTATCAGACCAAATGGATCTAATCCCGATAGTAAAACAAGTCAATTTGCGGGGGTTGTGCTGCTCAAAATATGTATCTACATGCCTCTTCACAACATAAGTCTATGGGGAAAAGTCTTTTTGGGCCCAATGACATCACTTGACGGTGTCGTTCCATTTCTGGCCACTATGAAAATTGGCTTCAGAGCTTGGCATACTTCCCGGGGGCCTGGCTGTGAGCAGTTTCATGTAGGAACTATTTTCTTTCTACCTAACTACACCTGCCAACTGTATCACTGCACAGAAGGAAGTGTCCATCTTCTCATGGACGAGAGGCACCTGACAGAATGAGGTGTAAACATTAATGGCATCCTCCTCGGCTGAGCTGTAACGTTAGTTAGCTCAGGGGTGCTAGGCGAGCTAGCAGTAGGCAGAAAATACGTCCTGCGTCAAACTGCTCACAACAAGGTCTGTGGATTATCTTGAGTAACTGGGTCATGATTTTTGGAAAGAGACATTGCTATTGAGTTTTTCAAATGTATTTTTTCTTTGAGCACCTCAAGCTGAGTGCCATCTAGTTCCATTATATTCGAGGGAAGGCAGACATCTTTATAGCTGATACCTCCAACACTCATACTGATACTTTAACAACATATCAAGACAATGCAGAGGAAGAATTTTTGGAGTGAACTGTCCCTTTAATGCCTCAGTTATCGACGAGGTAAATCTTGTGTTGGTGAGTTTTCTGTTTTTCCTTCCAGTGTTCCTGTTAAGCGCATTCTCAACAAGCCCCAGATCGTCCGCACTCTGGGCAGCAACCTTCACACAGATGTGAATGCCAGCCACTCCCGGGGTGGATGGTCGCTCCTGACCAAAGTGCAGCGCAGCAGGCACAAGCATCTCTATGACATCAACCATCAGATCAGGGTGAGACTGTGTTTGGTGTTGGTATTTATGAAGCATAAATGACTGAGCGGTGCTAAAACAGAATGGACACGGTGCTTTTTCAGTGATCTCTGGACACCAATGCCCATAAAACACATTCACCTCCCCTGAAGGTTAGGATGTTATTATTTCACATCATTCAATCAAAGCATTTTTAATAAGACTTTCTGACACTGACCAACACAGCAGGAGACTTTAATATTCAAGTGTTCCAGAGGGATCAGCGGAGGCACATTTGACAGTAATTACAGCCCTGAGTTTATGTGAGTAGGTTTGTGTCTGCTCCGTACATCTTGACAAGGCAGTTTTTCTCCAGCATTCCTCGCAAACCTGCTCCAGCTCAGGTTACACAGGGACCTGCCACACATTTGGATTAATTTAGGCCAGAGGTGTCACTCATTTCAGTTCATAGGCCACGTACAGACTGATTTGATCTCGAGTGGGCTGCACCAGTAAAACCATTGCATAATAACCTATAAATAACTGCAGCTCCAAATTTTATCCTTTTCTTTTAGTGTAAAGAACATTCTGGAGGTATCTATGTACAAAACACCCCAAACAACCTGATACACATCAAGAAAAATAAGTTCTCACTGTCATTACATGTGCATTTTCCATATATTTCCACTCCTGTCGTAATGCTGGTGTCACCACACCAAGCTTAAGTGGAAGCTATTGAGGAAGCAGGTTAAATTAGTCACTCCATGACACATTTGAAGTGTTGTCCTGAACCCAAAACATAGTGGGAATGATAATCAGTGCGGCCAAAAGGCTCAGTTGTGCCTCATTAAACCATAAAACCTTCTCTCACTTTGTTTCAGAGTCCACGTGCCCTCTGGCAAACACTAGTTAGTGTGTCATGAGACTTTTTTTTTCCTCTAACAGTGGCTTTCTTTGCAACTGTGCCATACAGTTGAACCAGCCTGGGCAACACTTGACCTATGACCTATATAATAAACATTCAGTAGATTACTGTAGCATCAGTGTAGCTTTCTGACACTATCTTATGATAGAATTTTGATGGTAAATATAATGTACAAGGCAGTGAATAAAGGGAGATTTTGGACACATCTAGACTCTTAATCCTCGCAGAGAAACTCTGTAGCTACTTCAGAGGGTTGTTGCCTTCCTCGCTCTTAAACCTCTCCCACAGAAATTGTTTTATGATTGACTGATGACTGCGATACTAGGAAATGTACTTTGTAAAACTGACATCAGTTAAGCCTTTTATCTGCTGTTCAACTTGAGAGAATTCTCCCTCTAAACTGCTCTTGCATCATAATAGTTACACCAGGTTGTTGTAACGTTTACATTGTCTCTTCACACTTTTAAGAATGAAGTAAGGGATGCAACAGTACTGCCTGTTTGGTACTGACAACACTGACATTAACGCAGTCAAACAAATATGTAGATTTGTGCAGTAACTTTCAGTGTTGCCAACTCTGTTCCATTGAAAGTAGGTTCAATAGCTCCAACAGTCGTCATACGCTCATTCACATATCAGTGAGGTCATGGTGCATCAATGTAAGCATTAAAATTTGCTGAATTAGATTCAAGAGAAATATTTTCTACAGAAAATTTGAATGGCATTAAGAGCTGTGGTGCTTAGTCTATAGTGCGCTACTGTCTCTCGCTTCCAAGCCAGAGAGTGAGCGCATCAACGTAACCATAGAAACTCACTTTAACTCCCATGGCGAGTAGTGTCTCGTCTCCTCCTGCCTGCCCCATATCTAATGCATGGTGCAAGAGGAGAGAGGAGGAGAGACCGCACTGACATGCATAGGAATAATTAAAATATAATGTATTCTCTAATGTTTTCTCTGATGGTCTGAAGAAGTTGCTGAATCTGTCGATAGTTGCTTTTTTAGAAATAAAGTTTCTAAGAGGGTCTGAATTTGAAAAGTCACTAGATATAGCAAGAAAGTTGCCAAGTTGGCAACTCTGGTAACTTCTCACAATCAGTCATTCAGACACCATCTTTTCAACAGCGACCTTCTGGTCATTGCACACGCAAAACCAAATTTATTTATCTTTATTTAACCAGGAAGTCCCATTGACAGTGAAAATCTCTTGCAAGAGAGACCTGGCCGAGGTAGCAGCCAATCAGAACACATAAAATACAACAAATACGACATATAATACAAAAATCCACAATAAAACAACAACTATTCAAACACAGAAGCCTCTCAAGAAAATCAAGCACATGTCTCTGTCACCACATTCTTTATGATGCCCTTGAACTCATCAGTGGATATAAGTGTTTCTCAAAAATGAGCTCTTCACACAAGGAACCACCAATCATTCACACACCATCTCAATAAAGAGCTCCTCCTCATTTCCTTGGCCTTTTCCAGATAACTGGCCCATCACAAATGTCACAATGTAACAGTTGTATTTGATTATGAGAGAGAACTGGTCAGAGCTGGTCATCAGAATTTTGGACAGTCAGTCATGTTGTTGTCTCTCCTAAAGGCCAAGCCTGACTTAAACACAACACTACCAGTTCGACAGACGGCATCCATCTTCAAACAACCAGTGACCAAGGTGACAAATCATCCCAACAACAAGGTGAAGACAGACCCGCAGAAGGCTGTGGACCAACCCAAACAAGTAAGTCACAGGGCAGAAAACATGCACAGTTAGACACTCTATACTTTTCAGGAAACTATAACTCCACCATCAATACAATAGAAAGGCAAGTGAGTAAAAAGAACTTACTGATCCTGTCAGCAGTTGAAATGTTTTGCATAGCTGACCAAGATAAAACCTGATGTTCTCTTATGTCTCTCTGGCTTTGCTGTTATCTAGAAAGTGCTGACAGGTCGTTGAAACCTTGTTCAGTGTCCTTAAAATGATGCATATGTTCAGTTTGTGTGCAGTTGTACCTAAAACTTGGTTTGTGTTAATCTCCAGCTGTTCTGGGAGAGGAAGCTCAGCGGGTTAAATGCGTTTGATATCGCAGACGAGCTGGTGAAAACTATGGACCTTCCCAAAGGCTTACAGGGTGAGTGTAACTGAACAAATATGACAGCTGTCTGTGATTCAAAGCTGGTTTATTGTAGAAGCTTGACTTATGCTTCTCTGCTGTCCTCTGCCCAGGTGTTGGTCCTGCGTGTTCAGATAAAACGTTGCTTTCTGCCATCGCCAGCGCTCTGCACACCAGCCCCGCGCCCGTCACTGGACAGCTCACTGCTGCAGTGGAGAAAAATCCCGGAGTGTGGCTCAACACGACACAGCCTCTCTGCAAAGCCTTCGTAGTGACTGATGATGACATCAGGTAAAGTGTTCCCTACTGCAGGGTTAATCAAATCATGAAAACTGGAAACTGGAATTAGGCTGAATCCATCGCTGGTGGCAAGGTGTCAAATGTTTGCCAACCCATATGTATTTTCCTGAGACTCCTGGTTTCCTCCCAGGGTCACTATTCTCCCGTATTTCCTCTAATTTAAGACAAATTTTCACACCTTTTTTCTTCTCGTTATAATAATCTGTTTCTGGCACTGCACATCGTATATAAGCCAAGCCCTGCAAATCTTAAAGTCTACTTTGACCTCCAGTTGGCGCTCCCCTTTCTCCCTTCTTTTCACACCCTCCAGGGTTGGAGAGGGGTGCCCATTGGGCCTGCATAAGTCAGACATAGCTACCATTGGACACCTTGTCTCTATGTGGAAGTCCAGTGGGATGCTCTAGCTGGGGTTTGAGGTGTAGCTTGGGGAATGGATGGGGTGCAACTTGCCCTTCTCTGCTGCGGCAGGGTACTCAGCTGTCACCCATTCCACCTTGCTTAAGCGTCCAGGACCCAGGGGTGTGTGGGCCAGAGAGGGGAGGACAGCTGGCTGAGGCCCCTGGTGCAGCCCAAGCCTACAGCTTGGCCTCCCTCCCTCCTCCTCATAGTCTGCTGGAGTTAAAATATGTATTCCTCTTTTTCTTAGGGTGCTGTCACACCTGCCCTGTTCGGTTTGGTTCAATCAAACTCAAGTTTGTTTGCCCCCTAAGTGTGGTTCGTTTGGGCAGGTGTGAACACAGCAATCGCACTCAGATGTGCACCAAAACAACCCTGGAGTGCTTTGGTCTGAATCAGGGACTAATTTTGTCCCTGATTCAGACCAAAGCAAGACAACTCTAGGTCTGAAAGCACCCTTATTCTTATTCCAAGATGCTAAATAATAAAATTCGGGAACACTTTTAACCACTGGCTGATGACTGCTAAAATTTACGTCATAATTAACAACAGTGTCAGAGTCTCTCTTCCTTGCAAGCAGCTGAAGCAAAGCTATATGTTTTGTCTATCTCTCCTCTGCTCCATTCAGCACTGAGGACAGCGTCGCACGGTCAGTTGGTCAGAGTGTGTTGGTGTGCATACCCGCACACTCATCAGTGTTGCAAGTGTCGGTTATATGCAGGGGATGCCAATGTGAAACTATTGTGGGGCAAATTAAATGTAATATTAATTTAGTACTTCTACAGCTAATGACAATGATTATTTAATACATTGATGGGAAAACAACCTAAATATCATTTTGACATTACCAAAGTGGTTACTGGCGATCACTCTGACCATCGTCGACTCTAAGATCGTCTTTTAAGCACAACCCTAGTGTACATGTGTCTCCTGTCTGAGACAGAGCTCCCTGCTTCAAATGTGCTCCAGTCAACTTAAATAGCTACCAAGCTGGTATTGAATTTTTGTCACTGCTCCTTCTGTAAAATGTATTTCTGTTCGAACACTGTGAGGAGGAAGCTGCTGTTTTTGGCTTCTTGACACTTTTCACTCCTCTCTGTTGACATATGGATTTCTTCAACACAGTTATTCTACGATACTTTTAAATAAGGATGTCCAGATCAAGTTTTTTTTGCCCCTGATCCGAGTAATTTACCATCTTGCACAATGTTTTTTATCTGTCCTGAGCCAGTACTTCTCTTTTCCTAGATAATACAGCTGCACAGCGCACACTTGAAGTTTATTAAAGTTATTCAAATGAATCCAATAGATATGCCTGACAGTTGACATTATTAATTACTTTATTACAAAACTATAAAATAACAAACCCTGTCTGGACTCTCTTTGGCTGTGTTGCTGTCTGGAGGGAATGTTTCTGTCCCTTTTAAGAGAGTATTCTCCAGTGCTTGTTGCCCTCTGTGCAGCCTTTACCTGAGTTAGCCTACCTGAAGGAAACATATTCCGCAGAGTGTTTATTTTGTCGTCTGGATTAGGCTACATTAATAAATGACTCCTATTGGCTGTTTGTTGCTAGCTAAGTATAGCCAGTCCCGAGCAGGTAAAAATCAGCCCCCATACTGAACTCTAAGATAAGACTGAGCCTTCCTCACTTATAAAACTGTTATTAGTCTCATAATGTTTTGATGCCTCACCTACGTGTCAGCTGAAAATTATTCTGTAAATGAGACAAAAGTACACGTACATAATACATTGTAGTTAAATGTTGAGACTTACTTACTCTGCTGTGTTTGTGTAGTAGGGTTGGAGTGGTGTAAAAATGTTCAAAGCGGTTTGACTCTAAGCTGAACAGCGACTTTATCGGTGTACCGAATTTTACCACTAGAGGCCCGTTTCCACCGCAGGAACTTCGGGGTAAATTTACGGGGCCGGGGCCATTGGTGCGTGTCTCCACCGCAGGAACCACCCCCGAAGGACAGAGTTCCGGAGCTTTTACAGGGGCTAAACAAGTCCCTGCCTCAGGGTAGGTACTCAGAACGGCCCCGAAAGACTCCTCAAGGCAGAATGTGACGTCAACAGAAAGCAACAAAATAGCTGGCATTTTTAAAACTTGGCAGACGAGAGTTAGCTTGCTTCCACGGCCATGTAAACAAACTCAAGAACTGGTCCGTGAAAAAACATATTTTTTCCGGCGGATATCTTAGTTACAACATGATTGAGCTAGCAAAGCAGTTTTGTGTTGTGATGTGTGGTATTTATTCAGTTTTGGGAAATCACGATGTCTAGAAAGCATCACCTGACAGGGACATTTAACAGCAGCAGCAAAGCTAACATCAGGACATCATCTGTTAAAAGCCTCCCGTTGTCGGAAACGACATGAAACTACTCCAGTTAGCGCAATCATGTTGTAACTAAGACATCTGCTGAAAAAATATTTTTTTCACGGGCCACTTTGTGAGTTTAGTGAGTTATTACAGACACCGCTATCGGCTATCGGCTAACAGCTAACAGCGTCCCTACGCCACTACGTCGCCCCGGTCAAAATGGTTGTGCAACTATTACATCACATCCAGAGCCCGGTAACTTTACAGGAACCTTCCTCCTACTCCGCTCTCTCAGTGGAGACCTTCTCAGTGGAGACCATATATAGACTGTGGTGGAGACACGGCGGTTGAGAGGGCTGAGCGAGAGGACGTTCCTGTAGTAGTTCCTGTCCCCCAAATAGTACCAGGAACTACTTCAGTGGAAACGGGCCTTAGGTGTCTTACTTGACCCAGCAGCCGCTTCAGAGTAGAAAATAAAGAGACTTGGCTCTGTTACCACCTCTGCTGTTGGTGTCCTGCTTCGGCTCGGCAGTAAGTCCTCTCAGTCCTCTCAGACACTGGCAGCGGCCACGTTAGTCCGTTTATAAACAAAAATAATATTTAAATCACGTTGTCTTATTGTGTGTAACTAATGCAGTACAAATGGATTTATCACCGTGATGCTATCGGTGTAGGCGTAGCAACTCCAGCTCACCTGCTTGATGATGCTACAGACTGCTGGAATGGCTACTATGACACCCAGAAGCAAGATGGTGTTAGGGAGCGCTTCTCTCAAACCATCAAGCACATGCTACGATGGTTGGAACAAAGTCAATCATCCTTTCCTCTTTGCCTTGTGTTCCTGCTGTCTGTACATTTTTCTCTTTCTTGGGCTGTGACGCCGTTGGCACAAGTTGCTGATGTAGACAACTTTTTAATTTTTCAGAATGTGCCATCAAGACAAACGCAGGTTCAGCCTGTTTGCATTTAAATCAGATGGGTTTAAACTCGTACGTACATCAGACCAGACCGGTAAAACTGGAAATTGACTTGACTCTAGATGTAAAACCTATTGTTCGTTTTTAATATTCATGTTAAGTTTTTGAACACTTGTAATTGGTGTTACGTATAGAGTGTACATGTGTCTTCTGCCTGAGACAGAGCACTCTGCTTCAAATGTGCTGCAGTCAACTTAAATAGCTACCAAGCTGGTATCGAGTTTTTGTCACTGCTTCTACTGTAAAGTGTATTTCTGTTCGAACACTGTGAGGAGGAAGCTGCTGTCTTCTACATCTCAGTGCTTTTCACTCATAGCTGTCAGCATGTAGATTTGGTCAACACAGTTATTATTTATTCTGAGATACTTTTAAACTGTTAATAGTCTCCTGATGTTTCACCTACGTCTGCTTTATGATAGGTTACACAATACACTGTGTTCTGTAGTTAAGTGTTGAGACTGACTCACTCTGCTGTGTTTGTTTAGTGCAGGGGTGTCCAAACGTTTTTTGAGCGGGGGTCAGATTAGATCATGTGAAAAATACCTGGCGGCAGCTGCTTCACACATCAAATGGGTTATTAAAAAATAGAAATCACAAACGAGACAAATGCGACTGTTCCTCCTGCAATAACAATGTATTCAACTTTCCATAGCAGCAGTCCTCACCGTCGACTTTACGCTTTCTTGCTATGGCCATGTCTGCTACCTGTCAGGAAATGTCCGCTGTTTGCTAACCATTCCTGTGCTTGTTTACCATCTGTTTATGAAAACATGAGTTCTGCGGAGTTCCTACTTGATGCGTTTCTACAAACTGTATGAAGGGAAAAAATGCAAAGTGATCTTGCTTGATTAACCAGTATTGTGTGGTGGGCCACATATAGTATATTTTAAAAGTCAAGCCAAAGGCTGTTTAAAATCAGTCTGCAGGCCATAATTGGCTCCTGGGCTGGACTTGTGACATTCTCGGTGTAGTGGATTTTACTCCACCAGTGAGGTGAATATGCTGTTGGGACAGGGAGATCAAGAATCCCCAGTTAAGCCCCCTGGTTCCCATGGATCCTTAAAAATATTTAAAGGGCTTTGAAATCCATAATTCAAAAATAAGGCCTTAATTGGTATTAAAATGTCTTATTGCAATATTTCAAAAGTCTTAAAAATTCTAAGACATGGGAAGAAGGGTTTTATGAATCGTTGTTCTTTGGATTTTCCTGTAAAATGCTGTCAGAATCTATTTTTTCCATCTTTTTTCATTTTTATTTTCCCTAAATGCCTCTCACATTAACGTCACCACATCAGGATAGTAAAATCAGCAACACTCATATTTTGTTTCTGTCCGGGATACTCAGAGCAGAGGATCCACTGTCTGCTAGCTAACCGTCACTGTACTCTGGACGACACAGGGAATTCAAAATTCAATGAAAATTGGAGATTTAACCAAGATGTTGCGGCATGTCTAAAACCAGTAGAAGGTAGTGAATACAAGGCTCGACGTATTTTATGCAAGAAAGTTTTTCAAATTGCACAGTGGGAATCGAGACAAAGTGATAAACACAGAATCGCCAGCAAATTCACCAACAGACTGCAGGTATTTCCCAGTTATGTGCAACCAATTCAGGTGGCATTACAAAAAGTCTTAAATGTAACTCGTCTTAAGCTGCAGGAACCCTGAGTGAGTCGCACTGTGTTGCTCATCTTATACTGAGTAATCTCACTCTCCATTGTGCACATAGTCTAACTGAATGAATGACTGTGGCAGATTCTGATACGTTACACAACAGCTACTGTACTGATGCTTTCCTTTGTTGATGCTGAGAGCCTGTGGAGCTCAGTGTGTGATGAGCACAGAGACGAGATCAGGGGGACAGTCCTTCACTCATGCCAGATCTGTACGGGCTGAGACTGCACTACACGTTACAGCTTCTGTGAAATCCTCTTTGTCGTCATCATCAAGTCTTTTCCATGAAAGGTTTGTTTTCATCAGTGTTTTATTTTTTCCTTGTCTGTGCGTCTCAGGAAGCAGGAAGACCTGGTGCAGAATGTGAGGAGGCGGCTGGAGGAAGCCCTCACAGCTGATATGTTGGCTCATATAGAGGACACCGCTGCAGACGCAGCAGCAGCCAACAAAGTGGAGGAGAAGGTTGAGCAGGTGGAGAAGGAGGAATTATAGCCAAGGTACACAAAACTGCAGCACTGGTTCCACTCAGTGCTTTTCTACTGGTTCATCATTCACTGCCCTTTGATTGTCTTACATAGTTATGAACTGCGGCACATGTGACGCAGGCCTAACACCAAATGACTTTTAAAGCAGTATCGTTTTCATAGAGTTGTCGATTGTTCGGTGTAAGGGAGATCATAAAACTCAGTCCAAGCTGTCTTAAGTCAGTCTTTTTCTTGTCTTGACGTTCCGACAAATTTAAACATGTTTAATATTATCCTAAGTTTTTAGTCTTGGCTCATGCAAATAATGGAATTCAATGGCGTGAACATTTTCAACAACCAATAGCTGAGCTCCAAACAAGGAGCAGCAAACCAGGTAGACCGTTAAAATGGAGGGGACGTCAGGGAGGCGCAAGAACGTGAACAAATCCAGATCGTCTTTAACTGTGAAAAGGAGGAGAAACTGGCGGAGCGTTTAATTCAGTGTGTATCTGATGCACCAGTCAGTGCTGTTTTTATTGAAAAATCTTGTTTTTGAAGCAGTTTGCCTCTCATTCCCACCGTCTCCTCCCACTAAAGTAGCGCAGCCAACCAATGGGGGCTGGCAGTGAGTTGAGGCGACAAATCCAAAATGTAACGTTTGTATGCGAATACAGTTGTATTGATGCTGCATTGACAAGTACACTGTCGACATATGACACCTTTTACCTCCTGTTTCTAGAGTTACGTGTTTTTGTAGACACATCAGGAATTAATGTGTCGCTAAAGTGAGTTGGGTTCAATATTTTGGGGCTGGGTTATAATTTAAAATAGAATCTAGATGTAGACTTGGAAATAGTGACCCTGCAAGATCCCACTCTGTTAACAGGCGTGCGGGGTATAAAAGATTCTGATCGACATGACATGTTTGAAGAGTGACGGATGGCTTACCAGCTGTTTATGACTGCAAAGACTGACAAGATTTGCTGCAGCTATGTAACTCCCTGCAGCAGCAATGAAGTGGAAATGCAAATAGCGGACACGCGCTTGTCAGTTTAGAATGATTCTGATTCACTAATGTATGCACAGTGGTAAGAACAAAATTGGCCATTCCACTGCATCATGAATCCAAGGGTAATTTTAAACGCACCCTAACTTTGTGGGCAAAGTAAGAGCATTTCTCCGCACATATTAGTGAATGAGGCCCCGTGTCTTCAGATGTGAGCGGGTGTCAGATTTAAAGGTCTAATGTGGAGGATTTAGTGGCATCCAGCAGTGGCTGAAAACACAAGCAGCCCTGTCTAAACCAAGCGTTTGATTTTTCTTTTCTGGGATACTGTAAAAACAACATGGTGGACTCCATGGAAGAAGATATATAAAGAGAACTGGGGCTGTCCGTTCCTATAGAAGTTGCTCTGTAGCGCATGAAGCCAAAATGGTCAATGCTATTATCGGTTTAGCGCTCCGTTAACTTGAATGAGCATAAAATAATTTAATCATGATGCTCTGCTAGGCTTGACAAATATTATCGGGCCAAATAGATAAAATTCTGGTGGTGAACTGATTCATTTCAAGATCGTGATGCTCAAAAGTGTAACCACTGATTTTCACACATCTCTTACGCCATTTAAGTCAATGGGAAAAGGTGTTTGGGGGCTGTGGGGCATCATGTGATGGATGTAACAACACTGTTAGGCCATTACAAAAATTGGCACACTTCCTGGGAGCCTGTACAAGGACCTGCTCAGTATGTAGATATGAACTGCTCATTCCAAGTTTACAAAAATACGATTCTTATTGTTATTGTTTTCAATATAATACACAATTCCTGCCAATAGATGCCTCTAAATCCTACACACTTGATCTTAAAGTCTCTTCAGAGTCTTCTAACATGTCTCTTCCCGTCTCTCCCACAGGTTTGTTTGACATGAAGTTTGCAGGTAAACTCCTCAGTTTCAAATAATTGGCTCCATGAAGATTTTTATACACTTTCACCAGAGATAGACCCTACATGCAGATACTCTGCAGCTTCTGTTTACCCACTCAAAGACTGTTTTCTTTTATTTGTGTTTTTTTTTTTTACATGTGACGGTGTAATCCTGAAAGGGTGCTTTGGGTTCTCAGTTTGTTTTTACCTTTACTATACTAATGTATGCCGACTTTCTTTAGACTCTATGTTGTTTAGTGTTTTCAGGAAACAATGACATCACCATTTCGCCATTGACACAATAGGGAGTCAAAGGAAATTACTGTTCCTACAGCAGTTTATGACAGTTCTGGATGATGCTCTATACAATGCAGTGTTACATTTAACAGCTGTTCAAGCTCAAAGTTAAAACACAAACCTGTTGCGTGTGTGTGTGCGACTGAAGTGTGTGTGTGTGTGTGTGTGTGTGTGTGTGTGTTGAATGTATCAGTTCATGTTGATGTCTTAAAGTGTGTTTCTTTTTAACATGTTGCTCTTTTATATTTTACTCTGGCACTGTAGGTAGTGTGTTCATGTTCGGAAGCATAGAAACGGTGCAGTATGTTTACATGCACGCAGCACGCTGAGGCTGTGAATATAAAAATTTAGTTTGATTACAGGTTTAACAGTTCAGCACAGTGTTACTTCTCACCATATCCTGAGTGTACATGGTTTAGAAGTTTAACGCTCGGTATTCATTTGAAAGAATGACCAGTACTGCTTCAACAGCTACATTTGAGTTTAAACATTAACAGAAAAGGTGCGTACCCTCAGAAGATTCAGACACAACACTGATGTACCTCATAACAAGATGTACTGTACCTCATTACAAGATTCATTATTTGTCTCTGTACCACTGTCAAATAAATGCAGCTCTTTCATGACTGATGTTTTTTGCTTGGTCGTTATTCAGAACTCCAGGAGGTTTTATGGTCTCACATTGACTCACATTGTTCAAGTCTATCTTAAAACAATACTCACATGCCTGTATGTATATTGATGTTACTAGTCCCTGTAATGATTCCTGCTTTCCAAAATCCACAGCAGGGCTGCAACTAACGATTATTTTCATTATTGACTTATCTGATTATTGACTAGCCGATTATTTTCACGATTATTGTATAGTCTATAAAATGTCAAACATTGTGAAAAATGCCAGAACCCAAAGTGACTTCTTCAATTTTTTATCCAATGAACAATCCAAAACCCAAAAACCCAATTCTTCATTTACTGTCATAAATGACAAAGAAAGGCAGTGAATTCTCACGTTTAAGAAGCTTGAACCGTCAATTTTTTAACAGTTTTGCTTGAAAAATGACAAACGATTAATTATCAAAATGGTCGGCTATTCATTTTCTTTCAATTAACTAATCTATTAGTGTGACTCACCAGATGTCGACTGTGGCTATGAGCCTGACATTCGGCCACTGATTTCAGCCGACATTCTCCCGTCCTTCCACTATCGCGCATTACCAAGTCCGCTTCGCCAAGGGAAACAGCCTTCAAGCTAACTATTTACACGCTGGAAATGGCACGTCTTGACGAGTTGGGATCGTCCAGTAAGACTTACTGGATTATTCTTAAGGTTAGATCTACAACGAATAAAAAAACATGCCCAGATGCTGATCTGTTTTCTGACACGACCAGTCGGAGTTGATTTGCCACACCTTTTGACTCTCCAACGTACTGATCATTGGACTCTTCAAGAGCCTCTGTGATATTGTCATTTTGCTAGACCCACATACAGCCAGTGGATTGTCTGTTTTTTACTGGGTCCAGTGAGCTCCTCCAGAGCTGAAGTATCGTCAGGCGTCACCTCTAGGGCATCGATTATCCATCCATCCATCCACCTATCCAGGAGCAGCAGGCCAAGCAAAGGACCCCAGACGTCCCTCTCCCCAGCAACGCTTTCCAGCTCCTTCTGGGGGCGTTGTCAGGCCAGATGAGGTATCTAATCCCTCCAGCGTGTTCTGGGTCTGCCCCGGGGCCTCCTACCAGTGGGACGTACCTGGAACACCTCAAACGGGAGGCGCCCAGGAGACATCCTGATCAGATGCCCAATCACCTCAGCTGACCCCTTTCAACGTGAAGTAGCAGCGGCTCTACTCCAGGCTCCCTCAGGATGTAGTGCCCCCCCAGCAAGATGATGCACCATGCCACACAGCAAACATGGCTCAGGAATGGCCCAAGGACTTTGACAAAGACCTCAAAGTGTCAACCTGGCATCCAAATTCCCCAGATCCCAATCTGAATGAGCATCTGTGGCACGTGCCACTAACCCACTGGACTAAATGGATCTGTCGCCAATGCACTGGTGCCAGACACACAGGACACTCCCAGAGATCCTGTGTCCATGCCTCGACAGGTCAGAGCCAAGTCCGATCCAAGGAGGCCCCACCTTGGATTAGGGGTACATCTGGGGTACCGGCACATCACAAGAATCCTTGAGCAGATTGGGACCTGGGAAATTTAGAAGCCAGGTCGACACCTTGAGCTTTTTGTCACGCTCCACAGGCCATTTCTAAACTGTGTGTGGAAACACAAAGAGGGAGTATGGTACTAAAGACAAACATTTCAGGAGGAGATCTCTCCACAGCCAGTATGGACACGGGGAGTGATTACAGTGATCAATAACTCCACACCACCACACTGTAGGTGAGCTTTGATCTAAGATAAACTTTAAAAACATGTGAACCTTTAATTTGTTCCTCTCAACTTATGGTGCAACAAGAGGCTATGCCTTGAATATTTCTTCTCCACAATAAATATATATACACTGCCTGGCCAAAAAAAAAAGGTCATACACTCTAATAATTCGTTGGACCGCCTTTAGCTTTGATTACGGCACGCATTCGCTGTGGCATTGTTTCGATAAGCTTCTGCAATGTCACAAGATTTATTTCCATCCAGTGTTGCATTAATTTTTCACCAAGATCTTGCACTGATGATGGTAGAGTCTGACTGCTGCGCAAAGCCTTCTCCAGCACATCCCAAAGATTCTCAATGGGGTTAAGGTCTGGACTCTGTGGTGGCCAATCCATGTGTGAAAATGATGTCTCATGCTCCCTGAACCAGTCTTTCACAATTTGAGGCCGATGAATCCTGGCATTGTCATCTTGGAATATGCCCGTGCCATCAGGGAAGAAAAAATCCATTGATGGAATAACCTGGTCATTCAGTATATTCAGGTAGTCAGCTGACCTCATTCTTTGAGCACATACTGTTGCTGAACCTAGACCTGACCAACTGCAGCAACCCCAGATCATAACACTGCCCCCACAGGCTTGTACAGTAGGCACTAGGCATGATGGGTGCATCACTTCATCTGCCTCTCTTCTTACCCTGATGCGCCCATCACTCTGGAACAGGGTAAATCTGGACTCATCAGACCACATGACCTTCTTCCATTGCTTCAGAGTCCAATCTTTATGCTCCCTAGCAAATTGAAGCATTTTTTTCCGGTTAGCCTCACTGATTAGTGGTTTTCTTAAGGCTACACAGCTGTTCAGTCCCAATCCCTTGAGTTCCCTTCGCATTGTGCGTGTGGAAATGCTCTTACTTTCACTATTAAACATAGCCCTGAGTTCTACTGTTGTTTTTCTTCGATTTGATCTCACCAAACGTTTAAGTGATCGCCGATCACGATCATTGAGGATTTTTTTCCGGCAACATTTCTTCCTCGAAGACGATGGGTCCCCACTATCCTTCCAGTTTTTAATAATGCGTTGGACAGTTCTTAACCCAATTTTAGTAGTTTCTGCAATCTCCTTAGATGTTTTCTCTGCTTGATGCATGCCAATGATTTGACCCTTCTCAAACAGACTAACATCTTTTCCACGACCACGGGATGTGTCTTTCGACATGGTTGTTTAGGAAATGAGAAGCAACTCATTGCACCAGTTGGGTTTAAATAACTTGTTGCCAGCTGAAAGATAATCGCCCATGCAGTAATTATCCAATAGGAGGCTCGTACCTATTTGCTTAGTTAAATCCAGGTGGCGACTTTTTTTTTTGGCCAGGCAGTGTATTTTAATGTTCAGTTCTGTAAAACAGCCTTTTACATTCATATAATACAGAACATAACAAAATTGCTGCACTGATACAGAACAGAGGGAGAAGAACGCTCCTCATTGGTTAATAAATGTTTATCTGGAGTATAGTAATTGAAATAAATGCAAAATGTGACAAGTATTAAAAGGAAAATTAAAATTATACAAACTCAGAAACTGCGTTATTCACAGAAATGTATTCATCTACTTGATCCTTAACAATTTATGAAGTGTCTCCGTATATTCTCAAATGTCTGCTGTTGAGCCGTTAATATATGAGTTATCTTTTGTAATGGAAGGCTTGATAACGTCCATCTTATCCCCTGAGAAGTGTCTGGTCTGTGAATGTTTTTTCATAAACTTACTTTACATTTTATGACTTGAAGCAAGTTGAGGTCTTTAAATGCTCCTTCATTTTACTATAGTTACCTCTGAATAAAAGAACAGAACAGACTCAAGTGACATTTTTTTTTAAATAACCCTCTCATTTATAACTCTTAACTCTTCCCAGAACCTTTTAATCTTTCTGCATCAACAAACACAGTGAATCAATGTTGCCTTGAATGTTTTGAAGTGTTTACATGCTTTGAAATGAACCCATCGCCCTCCATTATTTATTATTAATTTTATTTAATCCAACTCCGGGGAAATTCACATGTTACAGCAGCTCAAGAGTCAGAAGCAAGAAAGAAAAAAAAAATTAAAAATGCACAATTAAAACACAAAAAGGCAAGAAAAAAAAAAAGAATAATAAAATACAGTGCAGGGAGAGGCAAAAACCCAGAGGGCTCATTTGAAGCCTCCACCTAATAACATTTTCACAAAATTATTAAGAACTCAAAAGCACAGAACGATAATGAACAATACATAAAATAATACAAGTGATAACACACTACTAATAGCAAAATATGTTTGAATGCAGCAATAAGAAAACAGCAATGATGAAGATGTAAATTAGATAACATAAAATTAAAAAATAACATCTATATACACCACACACCTTTCAATTGTACACACACTGTATGTTCATGATTAATAGTGGCACAAGATAACTGAAGCACACATGGTGTGTGTAATGTATTTAATATGAATATATAGAGCCATAGGCCATATTGTCCTGCAAACCCTGCCTATGGTTCCTAAGTGCTGACAGGATGAGGAAACGATCTTCTTGGGGTGCTGTCTTCTTGGGACGCCCACTTTACGGCCTGTCTCTGACATCCCCCATTATATGGAACTTGGCCTTCAGTTTGCAGAGGGTACCAGGGCTCACTCCAAATAATGCCGCAACTTGGTTTTGCAGAACATCAGCTTGAAGTTGCCCTATCGCACGGGCCCTATCCAGATCAAAGTGGCGTGCCAATTCTTGGAGCAGACACCAACTGACCACTGTAGCAGGGCCTGTGCTCACAGGTACCTGGGGGTACCAGAGGCTCAAAACAAGAGTCAATAGCAACATCAAAAAAAAAAAAAAAAGCTGTTTGGCATAGGCAGAGAAGACAACCCACATTTCTCATTTTATTTATTTAGAGGACAGTGCACATTAATGAACATTGCTGTAAATGTGCCGGTGTTAGCCAAAGGCTAATTTTCAACTGTAGTCCTCCGGCATGATGTTAAAAAGACCTCAGGCCATTAAAAAACACAAAAACAGGAACACAGAAGTCATAAAATATAAAACAACAAATAAACAAAAACAGGAACACTCACATACTCAGCTCTGCTGCTCATCCCACAAACTCATGTTCCATACAAATGTGGCACTATTTAAAAGGGAAATAAACAGGCTTTCCAACGGTATAAGATTTATTGCCAAGAAGCATTGTTACAAAAAAAGAAATAATCTACCAAACACAAATGTCCTTACTTTTTGTGCTTAGTTTAGAAATAATCAGGGGTGGGGAAAATAGGTATAGCATAGTATCGCGATATTTTGCGTGGCAATATTGTACCAATATACAGGCACCAACTATTGATTTCTTTATATTATACAAATTCAATTTTATTTTTAAAGCCCAATATCACAAATCACAATTTGCTTCAGAGGGCTTTACACGACAGGGAAAAATTATGAATATTGAAATTATGAATTTAGCTAGAACAGGAAAATAAGTTGCTTTTTCAGTCCACTAGATACATTATATTATTTAACTTTTTTGTCTTATTACTGTTTTTATTGCTGTTTATATATAATTCTTGATGTCTTATAGACTTCATCACTTTATTGCAGTGATATATTTGTATACTTCCAGCCCATTTAAAATGAACTCAATCAATTTCCCTGAATAAAGGATGGATATGATGATTACCTAGAAAGCACAAATAACAGCAAGCACCCCCACACTGCATGAGCATCACTTGTGTTGGACCACCCAAAACACCTCATTGGTAGCCATGATGAACACACCCAGCTCTGACCACATTTTTAAAGCATGTATCAATGCGTGTACAGTCTGGCTGCACAGACATGCATTAAAGAGGAGGGGGGATAAAGTAGTGCCCTGCAGACTGACAGACACAATGGCAGTGACAGCAGCTCGCCGTTGATGCTCTCCCCTCGCTGCTGCATGTGGCCTTTGAACCCATTGTTGTGTCGCGGGTGACGTCAGTGCCGTGTGCGGGAGACGGAGCGGCGTGCGCCTGGCGAGACAAAGGCGGCGGACCGACCGGGGTCAGGCAGCAGCAGCAGAGAGCCGAGAACCACTGTTTTTTTTTTTTTTTTTTTACTAAAAGGTAACTGCTAACCTTGGATTTTCAGCTGCGGCGCGTGTCGGTACGCAGAATGAAGACCCGGTGACACTCCCAGGAATATGCTGTGACTCTCCTGAAAGAGGAAAAAAACAACACTGCCCTCTCTTCGGTTTTTAACGTTTTTCTCCTACGCCCCCCCGTTTAGCGTGCTAGCTAGCTAACCGTGCTAGCTCCCTAGCGTTGGTCTCCTCCTCCTCCTGGCTGCTTCTCATCTTTCCCTCAAAAACTGGGCGACGGGCGAAGGGAGGATCTCGTCGACAAAGGCAAGATAAAGTGAGTTCATGTGGTTTTTACACTTGTTTAATTTTAAAAATCGCCGCTGGGAGGGAGTTCGTCTGTCAGAGCGAAGCTAACAAGCTAGCTGTGGTGCTCCCAAACAAAGGGGTCGACAACGTGACTGAGTGCCGACTATGTGGAGCTAGCCTGTTAGCTTGGCTGCTGGAGCTAACAACAGCTCATATACCTATTTTATCTTTTATTTTTTTAATCCGTTCAGCGCATGTAAAAGTGTCTGGAGGTAATGCCACGCGTGTTCTTTGTATCTGTACTGAGCAATAGTTATTCCACGGGTGTAAAAGCGGACATGCTTTATCCTGACTAAACAAGCAGCCTCTGGATGGTTTCAGTTGTCAGACAAGGAGCAACAACAGACAAAGCAAGGCGCCCAAATCAACACTGCTAATGTATGCTGCTGTTTATGAATGATCCGGGGGTCCACGGTGCGCATCCCCAACCTTGTTTTGTGTGTTTATTTACAAACAAACAGCTGACTTTATTTGTTATTTTTCCTTTTTTTTTTAATTCCAGAAGAGGGTGAGCTCACTCCCAACACACAGGCATCCGTGATCTGATGTGAGATCCACGGAGAGACTATGCCTAGCCCTTTATTCCACCCCGAGATTATGGACCACGACGTGGTGATCAGCAGCCAGCACAACGGGGTCGGTCTGCCCCGAGAGACGGACCAGGAGTCCCGGGAAGAGGACCACCAAGAGGCGCTCCGCTTCGCCCTGGACCAGCTGTCACTCATGGCCCTGGAGAAGGTGGACTGTGGGGGCGGCGGTGGCAGCGGAGGCGGCGGGCTGGTCGACACTCTGGATGGGACCCAGGGTCCCGGCTCTGAGGGCTGCAACGGCGTGGGCGGAGGGGGCTACGTGGATCTACAGATGCTGGAGCATCCCAACGGGTCCCGGGACTCGCCGACGTCCTGCTCTCCGTCCCCGGAGTACTACGGCTCGGGCGGGTACCACATGGCCGGCTCGCACCCCATGCTCCACGGGGAACAAAGCTCCGTCCTCTGCAGCAGGAAAAGAAGTGTCAACATGACTGAATGTGTGCCTGTGCCCAGCTCTGAGCATGTGGCAGAGATAGTGGGGAGACAAGGTAAGAGCATGAGTGTGTGAGATTTATTTGGTGTTTGTGGACAGCTTGTTCAGGCAGCATGCAGCCTGGTTGTTCTTTGTTTGGGTGGCAGTCTGCTGAGAGGAGGGTTCCTGAACTTTTACAGCCTGAGCTCGGTGCTCTGGTCGGGCTGCACTCCTCTATTTGGGTCTTTAATGTCAGCATAATGCGGCTCCTCTATTCAAAAAAGCCTCGCTTTCTATATTAACACTCCATTTTTAGCAGTATTTAGACAATGCATTGACATAGAGTGACTGAGAGAGTGTGGTTGATGAGTAGGAGGGAGGGGGAGGGGTGGGAGAGGGTCAGACAAAGCGGCAGATTGTCGGGAGTCTGGACATGTCTAGCAGCCTGCACCAAACAAAGAAAATACACCAAAATGCGCTCATTTTAGAAATCGCAGACCACAAGAGGTAGCTTTTAACACTGGACTCGCATTTCTAGCCCATGCATATGTTCACAGTAGATTATTATTGTGTCTGTGGAGCAGAATTTGGAGCTGAAACGGGGCAGCAGGCGCACAAACACGGGACTGGGCGGTGTTACGCCCTGCACCCAGCTCTGTCTGCCGATGCTGCTGCTCGCCTCGCAGCCGCTCCGCTTTATACATCCAATTTTTCTCTCCTGTTTCTACCAATATGCGTCCTCTACATGAAATACACCCATGTTATGGATTAGGTTTGCCCGTCGCGGCCGCGGCAGCGTTACGGCATTGTTCTCTTTGTTTGAAAAAGCCATGCTTTCTGCTTCCCAGAATGACATCACACTCCGTGCGCCCGATTGGTCGCCGAGCAGCGAGCGTCCATATTTAAAGAAACAGAGCGCAGCTGATGCTGGCGGAGGAGCATGAGTTGACACAAGCAGTGCAGCAGATATTGACTTTATGTTTGGGCAGACAGGCTCTTCAGGAATATCTTGCGTGCATGCTGCTGCTGCTGCCACGGATATGTTGTAATGATGCGAAAATGATGCATCGTTAAGGCGCTTTAACTGGAGTGCTGGGCTGATTACTTGTTTTTGAGGATTCAATATTCAGCATGTTGATGCAGCCATGTTGATTTATTATTGATCTGCATATGTTTTGAAACAGTTGATGATGTGTTTCTGCACATTAGAGCTTCAGATTTAATATCAAAACAGCAACATGGCAAAGTGTAATATCCAAATTACAGGAGTTGCACTTTTAGTTAAAGGTAAAATATGTCACAACACACCACGGAAAACAAAACAACATGGTGATACAGAGATGCCCCAGCCTTAAAATCATATTTCAGATGTAAGGTAACACGCTTGTTTGGTACAGACTCCAGCAAAAATCACATCACAATAATTTTTATATAATTTTTCAGTGAAAATGAAATGCAAAAATTACCATTCCCACTAAAATCATGACTCACACTGCAATACTAGTCAAAATAATTTAAATCAGTTTTTTTTGTCTTATTATGCGGCACTACTTTACATAACATAATTGTCAGTTAATACACCTACTGTAGTTAAAATGAATGCAGTCCTGCAGTAAATCCTACCATCATGAAGATTGTTATGTTCAGTTTTTGTTGAAACAGTTTTAGAGAGGCGGAGATTTAACTTTATGATTAATCTGGAGGCTGCAGTTTGTGGTTGTTTTATATTAAGGGGTGTTTTTAATATTTTGTCTACCTCATTTACATCAGAGTGCAGCTAAATACTAGAAATAACTATGTGTGGGGGGGGAATAGATAGCATATTAGCACAGTATCAAATTCAATTCAGTTTTATTTTTAAATCCCAATGTCACAAATAACACCTTGCTTCAGGGGACTTTACAGCATATGACAACCCTCTGTCGATGGACCCTTACAACAAGTCAGAAAAACCATTAACAGGGAAAAAATATGAATATTGAAAACAGAGTTAGAATAATAAAATCAGTTCATTTTTCGGTCCACAAGATAAATTTTGCTGCTATAAAAATGATCAAAGTGAGATGAACAGACTGAAAACATTATCTTAATGAATTAAACATGTCAATAAGTAATCACAATATATGTTAACGCAGTACTCAGGATATTGTAAAACATTTAGACTTGCAGTAATAATAATGTATTGTGACTTAAGTATTGTTATATATATAGTATCATGGTGCCTCTTCCCACCCCTAGAAATAACACAGGGTGTCTGCAAGTCCGTAAAAAGTCCTAAGATGTCATAAATTAAGATTTAAAACTTATTAGCCCTTGAAAGTTATTAAATAGTCTCAAATTTGAATTTTATGTAAACATTTTATCCATTTTTTAATTTCTTTTTGACAAAATGAGTCGAGCTCTTCAGCACGAAAGTCCACATTTCTGATGTTACTAATCTTTAAACCTAACACTGAACCTGATACTGTCTTTTTCCTTTATACTTACTGTTTGGCAAAATGTAGAGTTACCTTACTCGTTCTATCTCTGCAAAAAAATGATCTCTGCACAGGATCTGACATGGTTTATTTACCTTTTATACTTACCCGCAATGCTTGAATTAAAAAAAAAGATGTTTTGTCCTAAAATCAGTCTTAAATTTGTTTTTAATGATCTTGAAAAGGTCTTAAAAAGCATTCATTTTAAGTGTCTGATACCTGTAGACACCTTGTAAAAACACGAAAAACTACAGCGTCCAGATGTCAGATGAACATCTCAATTTCAAAACTGAACATTCACGTAGGTTCGATTTATTACAGCACTGTTGTGTCAGACTGTTTTAACGAGGTGTACTTGACAGGCTGCTACCAGAGTGTATCTGACCTGTTGTCTCAGACTTAATGTACATAATATAAGCACACTTGTGTGTGTGGCTGTGTTAAAAGTGTTAATATATGTGTGGGTGTGTGTTTGAACGTGTATAAGTGATGCTTCTGTGCTTCTGCGTCCTCCAGGTTGTAAGATCAAGGCCTTACGTGCCAAAACAAACACTTACATAAAGACTCCAGTCAGAGGCGAGGATCCGGTGTTCATTGTGACGGGACGCAGGGAGGATGTGGAGATGGCCAAACGTGAAATTGTCTCCGCCGCTGAGCATTTCTCTATGATCCGGGCGTCCCGCTGCAAAGCCGGAGGGCCCGGAGGAGGAGGCGGCGGCTCCCTTCCCGGACCGCCACACTTACCTGGACAAACCACCATACAGGTACAGACCTCCCTGTGGCTTAGTCATCATACTGTGTTACTGTTTTACTCTGCCAGATGACAATATATAACATCTGTTTGAGAAAGAAAAGTACAGCTCTGTTCTCTGACGTTAAAATACTTCTCTTGTCCCCAACCCAGGTGCGGGTGCCCTACAGAGTAGTTGGGTTAGTTGTTGGACCAAAAGGAGCAACTATCAAGCGCATCCAGCAGCAGACTCACACCTACATCGTGACGCCCAGTCGAGAGAAAGACCCGGTGTTCGAGGTGACCGGCATGCCGGAGAACGTGGACCGAGCGAGGGAGGAGATTGAGACCCATATCACCCTGCGAACTGGAACCTTTGTAGACCTGCAGGGAGACAATGACTTCCACTCCAACGGCACTGACGTCAGTCTAGAGGGCCTCGGCGCCCTGAGCGGAGGCCTGGGGGCATCTCTGTGGTCCAGGGCTACCGGCCACCATTCTGCCCCCCCTCCTCCTCCACCCTCCCCACCTCCTCCTCCTCTCCCCATGTCCATGCACCACTCCTCCAGCCGGAAGATGTCCTCATCAGTTGCCTATCACACGCACAACGGCGGGATGAGCTCAGACAACTTCAGCACCACTCGCAAGGCCAATGAGGGCGGCAGCCCCACGAGCCCCTTTAGCACAGGCTCCAGCAGCGCTGGAGGAGGATTCACTTTCGGGGGCGACTCCACCCCAGGGCTGCCCTCGTCAGATGAACTGGGCTTTGAGTTCAGCGCTGCCAACATCTGGGCGCCTTTCGTCAACGGTGGAACAGGCAATAAGACGGGTGGCTCTGCCCAACAGCAGCCTCTACGTCGCAACAGCAGCGGCCTCAGCGGCGGAGCCATCACTCCACGATTGTCTCCAACTCTGCCTCAGGACACGGGCGTGGGCCCCCTGGATCACCCATTAGCCCGTCGTGCACAGAGCGACCCCCTCAGCACTCTCTCCTGGCTGCAGTCCGGCAGCGCAGGAGGCGGCTCCTTCTCCGGAGCGTCCAGCTCCAGCTCCGGCGGCTCGTCGACTGGCTACTCCTCCTGCTCGGCCTCCTCCCTGCCAGGCGGCTCGCCCACTGACTCCGAGGGAGGCGGCAGCGGCGTGGGCCTCAGCTCCGGGATGCTGAGCCGACTGAAAGGCGGCTCCGGCCCCGGGGTCGCGGGCCTGGTCGGCGTTAGCCCCGGGATCAACAGGGACTGCTTTGTGTGTTTCGAGAGCGAGGTGACGGCAGCCCTGGTGCCTTGTGGCCACAACCTGTTCTGCATGGAGTGCGCTGGGCAAATCTGCCAGTCAGCTGAGCCGGAGTGCCCCGTCTGCCACACCCCCACCACACAGTGCATCCGCATCTTCTCCTAATGCCCCGGCAGGGGGGTGCGGGGCGGGGGGTAAAATCTGAGGGAGGCAGGAAGAAGACTGGAGTGGGGCACCAGCTGTGGGAGAGGCGATGGAAGGATTCACACTAATAACTTTCACACACACACGATGGACCATAATAAATGCATAATAGAGATGATGATACTATACGGATGTTGATTTATTGCTGGTAACTGTCAAGATTAATAATAATAATAATAATAATAATAATAATGACAATGACTTATTTTCAGAGTGAAGTTAATTGAAACTGGTCTGCAGACAGTCGGAGCTCAGACAGTCTCTCAGTGGTGAACTTATGGAAGGAAACTAGTGTCTTATCTCTCTTCAGGCCTTCATTTTGACCCGGAGCAGCCCGCGCCGCCGGCTGCCGGTCTGTCTTGACATTTTCTTCATTCTGGCTTCTTCAGATCTCTGCCTGCTTTCTCTCTCACAGCCTTTCCTTTTGACACTTTTGTACTTAACAGATATTTTTCGATGAAGCTGTCAATGAGGCCTGCACTTTTCTACTCCTTATTTTAATGTTCTCAACAGGACGCAAACCGTTCCAATAAATCCTGCCCCCCCCCCCCCNGTTAGCCAAAGGCTAATTTTCAACTGTAGTCCTCCGGCATGATGTTAAAAAGACCTCAGGCCATTAAAAAACACAAAAACAGGAACACAGAAGTCATAAAATATAAAACAACAAATAAACAAAAACAGGAACACTCACATACTCAGCTCTGCTGCTCATCCCACAAACTCATGTTCCATACAAATGTGGCACTATTTAAAAGGGAAATAAACAGGCTTTCCAACGGTATAAGATTTATTGCCAAGAAGCATTGTTACAAAAAAAGAAATAATCTACCAAACACAAATGTCCTTACTTTTTGTGCTTAGTTTAGAAATAATCAGGGGTTGGGGAAAATAGGTATAGCATAGTATCGCGATATTTTGCGTGGCAATATTGTACCAATATACAGGCACCAACTATTGATTTCTTTATATTATACAAATTCAATTTTATTTTTAAAGCCCAATATCACAAATCACAATTTGCTTCAGAGGGCTTTACACGACAGGGAAAAATTATGAATATTGAAATTATGAATTTAGCTAGAACAGGAAAATAAGTTGCTTTTTCAGTCCACTAGATACATTATATTATTTAACTTTTTTGTCTTATTACTGTTTTTATTGCTGTTTATATATAATTCTTGATGTCTTATAGACTTCATCACTTTATTGCAGTGATATATTTGTATACTTCCAGCCCATTTAAAATGAACTCAATCAATTTCCCTGAATAAAGGATGGATATGATGATTACCTAGAAAGCACAAATAACAGCAAGCACCCCCACACTGCATGAGCATCACTTGTGTTGGACCACCCAAAACACCTCATTGGTAGCCATGATGAACACACCCAGCTCTGACCACATTTTTAAAGCATGTATCAATGCGTGTACAGTCTGGCTGCACAGACATGCATTAAAGAGGAGGGGGGATAAAGTAGTGCCCTGCAGACTGACAGACACAATGGCAGTGACAGCAGCTCGCCGTTGATGCTCTCCCCTCGCTGCTGCATGTGGCCTTTGAACCCATTGTTGTGTCGCGGGTGACGTCAGTGCCGTGTGCGGGAGACGGAGCGGCGTGCGCCTGGCGAGACAAAGGCGGCGGACCGACCGGGGTCAGGCAGCAGCAGCAGAGAGCCGAGAACCACTGTTTTTTTTTTTTTTTTTTTACTAAAAGGTAACTGCTAACCTTGGATTTTCAGCTGCGGCGCGTGTCGGTACGCAGAATGAAGACCCGGTGACACTCCCAGGAATATGCTGTGACTCTCCTGAAAGAGGAAAAAAACAACACTGCCCTCTCTTCGGTTTTTAACGTTTTTCTCCTACGCCCCCCCGTTTAGCGTGCTAGCTAGCTAACCGTGCTAGCTCCCTAGCGTTGGTCTCCTCCTCCTCCTGGCTGCTTCTCATCTTTCCCTCAAAAACTGGGCGACGGGCGAAGGGAGGATCTCGTCGACAAAGGCAAGATAAAGTGAGTTCATGTGGTTTTTACACTTGTTTAATTTTAAAAATCGCCGCTGGGAGGGAGTTCGTCTGTCAGAGCGAAGCTAACAAGCTAGCTGTGGTGCTCCCAAACAAAGGGGTCGACAACGTGACTGAGTGCCGACTATGTGGAGCTAGCCTGTTAGCTTGGCTGCTGGAGCTAACAACAGCTCATATACCTATTTTATCTTTTATTTTTTTAATCCGTTCAGCGCATGTAAAAGTGTCTGGAGGTAATGCCACGCGTGTTCTTTGTATCTGTACTGAGCAATAGTTATTCCACGGGTGTAAAAGCGGACATGCTTTATCCTGACTAAACAAGCAGCCTCTGGATGGTTTCAGTTGTCAGACAAGGAGCAACAACAGACAAAGCAAGGCGCCCAAATCAACACTGCTAATGTATGCTGCTGTTTATGAATGATCCGGGGGTCCACGGTGCGCATCCCCAACCTTGTTTTGTGTGTTTATTTACAAACAAACAGCTGACTTTATTTGTTATTTTTCCTTTTTTTTTTAATTCCAGAAGAGGGTGAGCTCACTCCCAACACACAGGCATCCGTGATCTGATGTGAGATCCACGGAGAGACTATGCCTAGCCCTTTATTCCACCCCGAGATTATGGACCACGACGTGGTGATCAGCAGCCAGCACAACGGGGTCGGTCTGCCCCGAGAGACGGACCAGGAGTCCCGGGAAGAGGACCACCAAGAGGCGCTCCGCTTCGCCCTGGACCAGCTGTCACTCATGGCCCTGGAGAAGGTGGACTGTGGGGGCGGCGGTGGCAGCGGAGGCGGCGGGCTGGTCGACACTCTGGATGGGACCCAGGGTCCCGGCTCTGAGGGCTGCAACGGCGTGGGCGGAGGGGGCTACGTGGATCTACAGATGCTGGAGCATCCCAACGGGTCCCGGGACTCGCCGACGTCCTGCTCTCCGTCCCCGGAGTACTACGGCTCGGGCGGGTACCACATGGCCGGCTCGCACCCCATGCTCCACGGGGAACAAAGCTCCGTCCTCTGCAGCAGGAAAAGAAGTGTCAACATGACTGAATGTGTGCCTGTGCCCAGCTCTGAGCATGTGGCAGAGATAGTGGGGAGACAAGGTAAGAGCATGAGTGTGTGAGATTTATTTGGTGTTTGTGGACAGCTTGTTCAGGCAGCATGCAGCCTGGTTGTTCTTTGTTTGGGTGGCAGTCTGCTGAGAGGAGGGTTCCTGAACTTTTACAGCCTGAGCTCGGTGCTCTGGTCGGGCTGCACTCCTCTATTTGGGTCTTTAATGTCAGCATAATGCGGCTCCTCTATTCAAAAAAGCCTCGCTTTCTATATTAACACTCCATTTTTAGCAGTATTTAGACAATGCATTGACATAGAGTGACTGAGAGAGTGTGGTTGATGAGTAGGAGGGAGGGGGAGGGGTGGGAGAGGGTCAGACAAAGCGGCAGATTGTCGGGAGTCTGGACATGTCTAGCAGCCTGCACCAAACAAAGAAAATACACCAAAATGCGCTCATTTTAGAAATCGCAGACCACAAGAGGTAGCTTTTAACACTGGACTCGCATTTCTAGCCCATGCATATGTTCACAGTAGATTATTATTGTGTCTGTGGAGCAGAATTTGGAGCTGAAACGGGGCAGCAGGCGCACAAACACGGGACTGGGCGGTGTTACGCCCTGCACCCAGCTCTGTCTGCCGATGCTGCTGCTCGCCTCGCAGCCGCTCCGCTTTATACATCCAATTTTTCTCTCCTGTTTCTACCAATATGCGTCCTCTACATGAAATACACCCATGTTATGGATTAGGTTTGCCCGTCGCGGCCGCGGCAGCGTTACGGCATTGTTCTCTTTGTTTGAAAAAGCCATGCTTTCTGCTTCCCAGAATGACATCACACTCCGTGCGCCCGATTGGTCGCCGAGCAGCGAGCGTCCATATTTAAAGAAACAGAGCGCAGCTGATGCTGGCGGAGGAGCATGAGTTGACACAAGCAGTGCAGCAGATATTGACTTTATGTTTGGGCAGACAGGCTCTTCAGGAATATCTTGCGTGCATGCTGCTGCTGCTGCCACGGATATGTTGTAATGATGCGAAAATGATGCATCGTTAAGGCGCTTTAACTGGAGTGCTGGGCTGATTACTTGTTTTTGAGGATTCAATATTCAGCATGTTGATGCAGCCATGTTGATTTATTATTGATCTGCATATGTTTTGAAACAGTTGATGATGTGTTTCTGCACATTAGAGCTTCAGATTTAATATCAAAACAGCAACATGGCAAAGTGTAATATCCAAATTACAGGAGTTGCACTTTTAGTTAAAGGTAAAATATGTCACAACACACCACGGAAAACAAAACAACATGGTGATACAGAGATGCCCCAGCCTTAAAATCATATTTCAGATGTAAGGTAACACGCTTGTTTGGTACAGACTCCAGCAAAAATCACATCACAATAATTTTTATATAATTTTTCAGTGAAAATGAAATGCAAAAATTACCATTCCCACTAAAATCATGACTCACACTGCAATACTAGTCAAAATAATTTAAATCAGTTTTTTTTGTCTTATTATGCGGCACTACTTTACATAACATAATTGTCAGTTAATACACCTACTGTAGTTAAAATGAATGCAGTCCTGCAGTAAATCCTACCATCATGAAGATTGTTATGTTCAGTTTTTGTTGAAACAGTTTTAGAGAGGCGGAGATTTAACTTTATGATTAATCTGGAGGCTGCAGTTTGTGGTTGTTTTATATTAAGGGGTGTTTTTAATATTTTGTCTACCTCATTTACATCAGAGTGCAGCTAAATACTAGAAATAACTATGTGTGGGGGGGGAATAGATAGCATATTAGCACAGTATCAAATTCAATTCAGTTTTATTTTTAAATCCCAATGTCACAAATAACACCTTGCTTCAGGGGACTTTACAGCATATGACAACCCTCTGTCGATGGACCCTTACAACAAGTCAGAAAAACCATTAACAGGGAAAAAATATGAATATTGAAAACAGAGTTAGAATAATAAAATCAGTTCATTTTTCGGTCCACAAGATAAATTTTGCTGCTATAAAAATGATCAAAGTGAGATGAACAGACTGAAAACATTATCTTAATGAATTAAACATGTCAATAAGTAATCACAATATATGTTAACGCAGTACTCAGGATATTGTAAAACATTTAGACTTGCAGTAATAATAATGTATTGTGACTTAAGTATTGTTATATATATATAGTATCATGGTGCCTCTTCCCACCCCTAGAAATAACACAGGGTGTCTGCAAGTCCGTAAAAAGTCCTAAGATGTCATAAATTAAGATTTAAAACTTATTAGCCCTTGAAAGTTATTAAATAGTCTCAAATTTGAATTTTATGTAAACATTTTATCCATTTTTTAATTTCTTTTTGACAAAATGAGTCGAGCTCTTCAGCACGAAAGTCCACATTTCTGATGTTACTAATCTTTAAACCTAACACTGAACCTGATACTGTCTTTTTCCTTTATACTTACTGTTTGGCAAAATGTAGAGTTACCTTACTCGTTCTATCTCTGCAAAAAAATGATCTCTGCACAGGATCTGACATGGTTTATTTACCTTTTATACTTACCCGCAATGCTTGAATTAAAAAAAAAGATGTTTTGTCCTAAAATCAGTCTTAAATTTGTTTTTAATGATCTTGAAAAGGTCTTAAAAAGCATTCATTTTAAGTGTCTGATACCTGTAGACACCTTGTAAAAACACGAAAAACTACAGCGTCCAGATGTCAGATGAACATCTCAATTTCAAAACTGAACATTCACGTAGGTTCGATTTATTACAGCACTGTTGTGTCAGACTGTTTTAACGAGGTGTACTTGACAGGCTGCTACCAGAGTGTATCTGACCTGTTGTCTCAGACTTAATGTACATAATATAAGCACACTTGTGTGTGTGGCTGTGTTAAAAGTGTTAATATATGTGTGGGTGTGTGTTTGAACGTGTATAAGTGATGCTTCTGTGCTTCTGCGTCCTCCAGGTTGTAAGATCAAGGCCTTACGTGCCAAAACAAACACTTACATAAAGACTCCAGTCAGAGGCGAGGATCCGGTGTTCATTGTGACGGGACGCAGGGAGGATGTGGAGATGGCCAAACGTGAAATTGTCTCCGCCGCTGAGCATTTCTCTATGATCCGGGCGTCCCGCTGCAAAGCCGGAGGGCCCGGAGGAGGAGGCGGCGGCTCCCTTCCCGGACCGCCACACTTACCTGGACAAACCACCATACAGGTACAGACCTCCCTGTGGCTTAGTCATCATACTGTGTTACTGTTTTACTCTGCCAGATGACAATATATAACATCTGTTTGAGAAAGAAAAGTACAGCTCTGTTCTCTGACGTTAAAATACTTCTCTTGTCCCCAACCCAGGTGCGGGTGCCCTACAGAGTAGTTGGGTTAGTTGTTGGACCAAAAGGAGCAACTATCAAGCGCATCCAGCAGCAGACTCACACCTACATCGTGACGCCCAGTCGAGAGAAAGACCCGGTGTTCGAGGTGACCGGCATGCCGGAGAACGTGGACCGAGCGAGGGAGGAGATTGAGACCCATATCACCCTGCGAACTGGAACCTTTGTAGACCTGCAGGGAGACAATGACTTCCACTCCAACGGCACTGACGTCAGTCTAGAGGGCCTCGGCGCCCTGAGCGGAGGCCTGGGGGCATCTCTGTGGTCCAGGGCTACCGGCCACCATTCTGCCCCCCCTCCTCCTCCACCCTCCCCACCTCCTCCTCCTCTCCCCATGTCCATGCACCACTCCTCCAGCCGGAAGATGTCCTCATCAGTTGCCTATCACACGCACAACGGCGGGATGAGCTCAGACAACTTCAGCACCACTCGCAAGGCCAATGAGGGCGGCAGCCCCACGAGCCCCTTTAGCACAGGCTCCAGCAGCGCTGGAGGAGGATTCACTTTCGGGGGCGACTCCACCCCAGGGCTGCCCTCGTCAGATGAACTGGGCTTTGAGTTCAGCGCTGCCAACATCTGGGCGCCTTTCGTCAACGGTGGAACAGGCAATAAGACGGGTGGCTCTGCCCAACAGCAGCCTCTACGTCGCAACAGCAGCGGCCTCAGCGGCGGAGCCATCACTCCACGATTGTCTCCAACTCTGCCTCAGGACACGGGCGTGGGCCCCCTGGATCACCCATTAGCCCGTCGTGCACAGAGCGACCCCCTCAGCACTCTCTCCTGGCTGCAGTCCGGCAGCGCAGGAGGCGGCTCCTTCTCCGGAGCGTCCAGCTCCAGCTCCGGCGGCTCGTCGACTGGCTACTCCTCCTGCTCGGCCTCCTCCCTGCCAGGCGGCTCGCCCACTGACTCCGAGGGAGGCGGCAGCGGCGTGGGCCTCAGCTCCGGGATGCTGAGCCGACTGAAAGGCGGCTCCGGCCCCGGGGTCGCGGGCCTGGTCGGCGTTAGCCCCGGGATCAACAGGGACTGCTTTGTGTGTTTCGAGAGCGAGGTGACGGCAGCCCTGGTGCCTTGTGGCCACAACCTGTTCTGCATGGAGTGCGCTGGGCAAATCTGCCAGTCAGCTGAGCCGGAGTGCCCCGTCTGCCACACCCCCACCACACAGTGCATCCGCATCTTCTCCTAATGCCCCGGCAGGGGGGTGCGGGGCGGGGGGTAAAATCTGAGGGAGGCAGGAAGAAGACTGGAGTGGGGCACCAGCTGTGGGAGAGGCGATGGAAGGATTCACACTAATAACTTTCACACACACACGATGGACCATAATAAATGCATAATAGAGATGATGATACTATACGGATGTTGATTTATTGCTGGTAACTGTCAAGATTAATAATAATAATAATAATAATAATAATAATGACAATGACTTATTTTCAGAGTGAAGTTAATTGAAACTGGTCTGCAGACAGTCGGAGCTCAGACAGTCTCTCAGTGGTGAACTTATGGAAGGAAACTAGTGTCTTATCTCTCTTCAGGCCTTCATTTTGACCCGGAGCAGCCCGCGCCGCCGGCTGCCGGTCTGTCTTGACATTTTCTTCATTCTGGCTTCTTCAGATCTCTGCCTGCTTTCTCTCTCACAGCCTTTCCTTTTGACACTTTTGTACTTAACAGATATTTTTCGATGAAGCTGTCAATGAGGCCTGCACTTTTCTACTCCTTATTTTAATGTTCTCAACAGGACGCAAACCGTTCCAATAAATCCTGCCCCCCCCCCCCCTTCTTCGCTTTCTCCTCTTGCTCTCACTCATGCTGTTGCGGGGGGGTTGCTATTTTTCTGGAACTTTTTTAAAGGTCGGCGTGTAGTCGGGCACCTATCAGAACAATAAGAGGGACCTCTTCGGGATGACTTCCTGTTTCTCGTTGCCACACAAGAATTAGCCATCAGTTATGCCAAATGAATGCTATTAATAGGCGTCTCTTAATTCTTGATCAAATTCCATAACTTGTGGGATGAATTTGAATGCAACACATTTCAGATGTGGCTGCTGCATTAGATTCACATGATGTGTTTTAATAAGTGAGAAACGTCCCATCAGTGATACTGTAGGAATGTGTCTGAGGTCAGTTCTCTGTGCGTTTGGGCTGCCTGACAATCCCTTTACATCTCTCTTTCTTGTGTGTGTGCGTGTGTGTGAATAACGCCCGCTCTTGCTGTTCATCGGCATCGTTACGTGTCTTCACCGTGAGAACGTCTGGTTTCTGTCCCGCTGCCCCTCTCCTTCACTTCACTCTGAGTCTCACAGGAAGGCTTTGCTCCGATCCATCCTCTCACATCCCGTCTGTTACGCTCACATCGACTCCGTTTAGCGTTTTCTACTAGATTCTGACTCTTGACTGTCAAGTGTGTGGCTCGCAGACATATTTTGAACTCTAGGATAAGATAGGGCTTTTCTGATGTCACACGTGAATGTTCTGTCCAATACGGAGAGGCGGCTGCACATGAAACAATAACAAGGGGCTCGATCGAACCATTTTTTCTTTTCATGCACTGTAACTCCAGGCCCCTCTAAAAAAGGTTAAAAAAAACAGCTCTTAACTGTTTTTGTTTCGGTAGTTTCGGTCTTCCACCCCACTCTTCACAGCAAAACTGTATGGCACTCTCTCAGATGACACACGGTCCATATAGCGCTGTATTCCCAGCCACATTTGGTGCACTATATGTTTAGTTGTGTGAGATTTGTCCTATGTTTTCATAGCATTACTGAGTAACTCCCGTTGATGCGGTCGCATCCTGTTTTGTGTTAGTGGTTTTTAAAGAATTCAGTGTGAGTTTGCAGTAACTGCCTCTTATAGTGTTAATACTGTATGTATGATTTGGGCGATGTTGGTTGCCGTCAGTGGCCCTTTTTTTTGGTTGAACATGTGTGGAAATCGGCTCATAGAATGAGACAAGCCATGACGACAGAATTAAAACGACACACCTAATTCTCAAGGGCTTCCTCTGACTGCACAGACACACGATCACATTTTCAGGCTCACACGCAGTAGGTATCCTTTATGGCAGCTAGTAGCTAGGTCATCCAGGGCTTCCAGACACTCTTTGTGTTCAAATCCCAGCAGCTGCAGAATGTTTTGCTCGTTGTTTTTATTTTTAATTATTATATTTTCTAACTGTCCCTACACGGTCATCACATCGGGATCCTGTCAGTAGGGCATGCAGTCACAGTGTGTCCTCCTCTTCTGGACGTAGTCTCAGATCAGGACAGGGTGTAGGGTTTTAATGTCCAGGAAACAAAAGGGTAACTCTACTTGAGTGAGTAATTGGGCAGTTGCTGCTGTGCTTTGGTGCTCCAGCCGGTATGATGTTAAACTTATTTGCTGTCTGACTGTTCGTTTGCTACTTTAGGTGACGAGGGCAGCAGCTGCACAGAGGAATCTAATAAGCCGCTGTCCTGGTTGAGCGCAGCAGTGCACTAATTCATGTGTAGGAAAAAAACTCTGCCCCAAGAGCTGAACCGGTAGTGACGACTACCCATGGTGCTTTGGTGCAACTCCCTACTGAAACATGGCGATGAACAAACCCCAGTTGGGGGCGGTGGGAGGCCTCTTATAGCTCTCAGACTTCTGCAGTGCTCCGTAAATCTGACAACCTCGTCTTGTTAACCGGCAAACCCACCCCCTCGTCGGGCTCTGGTGTCAAACGTCGCATTTCGTCTCATGCGCACTCGGAACAGATGCAGGGCCGTGAACGTGTCCTTATGATCAGATTCGTCGTGACTGTCGTGTGAGTCTGTTGAGGCCAACCTCGAAGCCCTTCTTCAAACTGTCCAAGTCGACGTGTTAAAGGAATTAAACGTGTTGTATTTACCAGATGGCTCTAATGTAAATCCTGGTGTTGAACTGGGGTGTTTTTCTGGCCAATGAGAGAATGTTAGGGTTTAATGTACAGTAGTTTCATTGTTAAAAAGGTACAAAGTTTTTCAGATTGACTGCTGATTTTTATTTTTTTTAGCCAAACTTATCCCCCTCCCCCATTTCCTTCCTTAAAGGTTTGAAAACAGGGTTTCCTGAGGCATGCTAGCCAGTGACCTCTGACCTTTTTTTTTGTCATTAGAGAGGGGGGGGGGGGGTGCGAAGAGAGCCACGCCAGAAAGGGGTGACAGACACCCCTTAAGCCTCCGCTCTCCTATTTTTTGCTTTAATTCTCTTTGTATGCAGAACCAAAATGTAAAACGTCGGCAAACTAGGTTCCAGGCCCGACCTGTGTGTGTATATACCCTGAATACAATCAACGGGATCTTGTTTTCAAAAGCAAAATGACTTAATTGAAGATAAGTGTAGTTTCTAAAGAACATGTATCATTATTTGTAAGTTAACCATCTGCATGTCTTCAAGCCACCTGGCATTAGCTAATAATTTTTAAGATAAAAAAAACAAAAAAACTTTTTACACATTTTATTTTTTACAATTTATTTGCTTACCTAAATATCCCAGACAATAATGTGACCCTTTTTATTACTTCAAATTTATTTTTATTTTCCATTTTTTTATTTTCCTTATTTCCTGTGTACTACATATAGGCAATTTATAACAAAATGAGAAAATTATTGAAGAAATTTTAAAATTGAAATATATTTTATTTGAAAGTTTATGGACCTTTTAACCGTGAGCCGGGAAAATTGTATAATCGTATAATTTGAGCTGACTTGACGGTTATGAGAAATGTATCAAGAGTTTTATTTTTTATGCTTCTTTAATAAAGTCTTGTTTTTTGGTTTCATTTTTTTACTGTAAAATAAGAGCTCGCCTTTGTGTGTCTTCATTTCAGTTGGGGAACATGCAGCAGACTGCAGCGGCTGCGTCTTGGCCACATGGTGGCAGCACAGACACACCTGCAGCAGACAGCTGCATGAATCATGGTGCAGCTCAGGCCTGTTTGTGAATCTGAGACCAGACATCGGGTAGTTTCCTGGAAAATCAGAACAGTGGTGTGGGCCTGGATCTAACACATGCATAGATTTTGGTGTAGCTTTAGAAGAAAAGTGTTAAAAGTAGAGCTGATTCAAGAGTTTAAATCCCTCATCAAACAAGAGTGCCTTATTTTTCAAACAAGATAAACCTTAAATGTGAATATTTGCTGCATTTTTATGTTTTAAATCAGTATAAATTAATTAAATACAGACTGCTGGTCTGGCCAGGATGTCAGTTTGGATTCTAATATTTTGGTGGTTTTCTGACATTTTATAAACTAAAACAGAGCTGAGATGAAACACTAAGACAATTAACAGCAGATTAATTGGGAACTTTTAATATTCAGTCAAATTTAAGTCAATTTTGCCAACTTTTTAAAGCTTCCAGCCTCTCAGATGTTCAGATTGGCTGCATTTCCTTGCCTTACACTGTTGTAAAATGTATATTTTGAGGATTTAGACTGTTGGATGTTTTTAAGCTACTTGTAGAACATTGTGAGACATTTTTCTAACATTTTATAGTCCAAATGTTTAGTCAAGTTGTAGCTTAAAGAAAATAATTAGCAGATTAATTCATAATGAAAACAATCATTGGTCACCAAGGCTTGACCTCTTTACTCCACAGCTGGTTTAAAGGGACAGTTCACCCCCAAATTAAAAATACATATTCTTCCTCTTACCTGTAGTGCTATTTATCAGTCTAGATTGTCGGTGTGAGTTGCTGAGTGTTGGAGAGATCACCGTAGAGATGTCTGCCTTCTCTTCAGTATAATGGAACTAGATGGCACTCGGCTTGTGGTGCTCAAAATGCCAATTAATACATTTGAAAAACTCAACACATCTGCACCCTTGTCTCTCCTTTTTTTGCCTTGTTCAAGCTTATTCCCCCTCCTTCATCAACTTCATACACACACACACACACACACACCAACAAACACTCAAAATACCACTCAACACTGTCAGCATATGTTATACTGATATGCCTGTGTTTGTCTTTTGTGTTGATTGTCATTTTAAACATGTCCTGTCTCCCACATAGTAATGTCCTTTTCATGTCTTTCACTTGTTTAGTGCCTGCATCACCATCATGACCTGGTCACCCAAGATAATCCACAGACCTTGTTGTGAGTAGTTTCATGTGGAACTATTTACTTTCTACTGAACTACACAATGTAGAAGGAAGAGTGCATCTACTCATGGATGAGAGGATCGTAGCAGCACGAGATGTGAACATTAATGGTGTCCTCCTTAGCTGAGCTGTAACATTAGCTAGCAGTAGATGCATGTTCCTTCTGCCCAGTGATTTGGTTGGTGGGTGTAGTTTGGTAGAAAGAAAATAGTTCCTACATGAAACTGCTCACAACAAGGTCTGTGGATTATCTTGAATAACGTCATGATTTCTTGAGTTTTTCAAATGCGTTTTCTTTGGTGCTATGAGCGTGCCATCTAGTTCCATTATTGTGGAGAGAAGGCAGACATCTCTACAGCTGATATCTCCAACACTCTGCAACTCCAGACTGATAAACAGCACCACAGGTAAGGGATGGTATATTTTTGATTTTGGGGTGAACTGTCTCTTTAAGTTCCTACTGATTTGCCTTTCTTTGTTTAGACTAACGGCAGCTGAGCTTTTCCCCTCCCCTCTGTCGACTGCGGAGAAGGAGCCAAAACATCTGGTTCAACTTGTGTAAAGTGGTGTGCGATGCTCCCCTCCCCCCCTCCGCAGAGAGGTCAGAGGTCACATGGAGAACAGACTGAGCGCTCACTGAAGTGGAAGCCCGTTGTTCCAGCTGAAGGTCTGTGTTAATATAAAAGCCTGTTGTCTTCATCTGAGAGGGGAAACACATCTGCTGAAACACTTGTCTGAGTTTTACAACGTTTCATAACTTGTCGCACTGAAGGTTCAGATTATTAGAGAGTATGTTAGACGTGTGTGTAGCCGATCCTGAGATGTAATAACTGGATAAAACCATTCCCACACATACAAATCTAACTGCAGTAATGTGATTCACAGGCGCGGCGGGGTGAATAATAAAGCAGACGTTTAGATCGTGACACAAATGTCCTTTTAATAGGAAGCAGATCACAATCAGGCTGCATTCCAGTTCCACTTCATCCTCATTAAAGAACAATCAATAATGATAAGAAACAAATTAGAAACATCCTTAGTAGAAAATAATTCTCTCATGCGAGTTCTGTGTTCACACTACATTCATATTGGTTACAGATGACGTATTCACAAGCCGTTGTTGGAAAACAAAAAGAACATTGATGACTTATCATTACATAGCTTCGGAAATTAAAAAAAAAAAAAAAAAGTCACATCAAAGAGACACGTGCTGGCACGATAAAGTTTCCCATCATGCAATTGTAAGTTGATTCTATTCACAGGGTGGGCGTCATTGGTCTCCACGGAGTTGTGTCGGCGTGCATGCATGCATGTGTGTCATCTTACGTGTGCCCTTTTGTGCTTGAGCAGAGATCGGTGTGTGGATGTGTGTGTAGGTGTGTGCATGTCTTTAGTGTGTGCAGTGGTGTGTGTAGGTGTGTGCGTACATACATGAAGCAGGCAACCAACAAGCCCCAAACTGGATAATCAGTTATTTTTTTGTTGCTTTTTCAGCTACAACCTGACGTGTCAAGTTTTGTCTTGAGCCCTGGGATCAAAACATAAAAATAATGTAACTGCACTGTGTGTTAAATTGGGCGGAAAGCTCCTTTAAAAAGGCTAGTTCACCCAATATTATCCGTTTTATTTAAAGGGAAACTTAGGTATTTTTCAACCTCGATCCTTTTTACGTCCATTAAAAGTGTTTGCTTTTGCCACTGACAGAATCAGATTGTTATTCGAAGTGTCTGGCAGCATTATGAAACGGACCCTAGGGAGGAATGAAACATTTTTCCTTAACTTCCACTGGTCTGTTTGTTGTTGTGACCAAGTCTCGCTCAAGGTGAAGTATCGTTCTAAAATCTCTCAGACTTCACCACATTGTCAATATCAGCAGAATATTCAGCAATAACACTGAGCTACGCTTTCTGTACTCTAACACAACAAACTCCTCCCAGCATTCCTCTATCCATGTCTCTCCTATTTTTCCTGCAATAAGTCACCTTCTAAGTCAAGACTTGGTCACAATAACGTTATATTTCTTTTCCTCAATGTTGAACAGACACTTTAAGCACCCCTCTACCCTTTTTTTTTTTTTACTCTAACAGTAATTAGTATCTAGTTACTAAAATGTTGAGGCAGAGGGTACTTGCTGTAGCTCTGGGTGAGGGCGAGAGGCTGTCAGCAAATTGTTTGTTGGGCACAGATAAACGGAGATTTGTGTGGGTACATGAGACCCTAAAAAAGAGGGTGGGTCGTAGGGAGTACCACCAGTTGGTCCAGGAGCTTCTCCTCCATGATGGACGTTTCCAGGCATATTTTAGGATGACTCAGGGGCAGTTTGACAACCTGCTGTCTATCGTCAGGCTGGGTATCCAGCAACTGCTACCACCAGTTCCTCCTCCATTGTTTACCAACTGTAGACTTGTTGTCATGACCACCACAGAGGTCCTGCCTCTGAAATCATCCGATTGGACAATGGGAAAAAGATACCAATAAAAGAGATGACGTTGGGCGCTTTTCTGCTCTGAGTTGAAGTTTTTTTCAACTCGAGGAGTTCAGTGCGTTCTGGTGCCTAGAGCGCAGAAACGCGAGGCCCATCCCAACACAAAAATCGCAAGCAAAAAGCTTCATTCTCAATAAAGACAATTACAAAAAATCACCTCCAGCAGCTAGAACGCTTTCTGTATGATCGGGGCCTTATACTCCCGTTATTTACGAAAACGGATGCATTAATTTCAACTGTCATTACCCACATACTTCCCTGCGTCCTTTATGTTAGTATAGATACATCCACTAGATGGCACCAAAGGGCAGAGTCAAAAGTTTCTGACAACAAACATGGCATTGGTGGGCTAGGTCGTAATAACGTACCCTATAATGTGTCCCTATACTTATCTAACTTTGAGCATGAATGAGCCATTACAATAACAGTATGAGCCTGTCAGTGGCAAAAACAAGCACTTTAAATTGATGGTGCACAATTGCCCTCAGAGACTACATTGCAGCCTGTTTTACTGCTACGAATCTCTCAACACTCGGCCAATTTAAAGATGATTGTCTCCATAGGTCGGTTAAACACAAATACATGGAAAACAGAGTCCAGGTTGAAAAAATACAAAAGTTTCCCTTTAAGTGAAATTTGGACGCCTAAATCAAATGGCAATATCAGTTTTACTTTTTGTAAAGGCATGAGCCGGTGTCCCCAAGCTAGTCGTGGTTTTGGATATAACCATCCCTTTGTTCGTAAAAAGAAGGCTCTGCTGAGATAAACAACATTCAGAAGCTTTGTTTTTGGTAGAATTCAACAGTATTCAGTAAAGACAACATGTGACAGGCCAGCAGTGACAGTCTGGTGAAGCCCCACACAGCGACAGGAAAACCTCGCTGTCACTGACACTGTTAAGTTTCACTAAGAGAATACAACACGAGCCGGACTACGACTGTGAGTGTTTGCTCACCTTTTTTTTTGCAGTGAAAGGTAAAGGGGTTGTTAACACACTTGACAAGACTTAAACTAAGACAACATAAATGCTTGGCGGTGACTCCGATGGCTTCTTTCTTTGAAAAACAAAAAAATAAACTGGTTCGTGCAAATTTGGTCCAAAAGGCAAATAGGAATTCAAGGACAAAACACTTTCCTTCTTATTCAACACGTGAGAAAAAGCTTACAAATGTCCAACAGGAATGGGGATTTTATGAGTCCATACATAAAAGTAAA